CCTCGATCCGCAGCCTGACGCAGCGGGCGTACCACACCCAGGGCCGTCACAAGACTCTAGACCCGGCCAAGCAGCAGGCCCTGACGCTGGGTCACTCCGGCCTGGGCAGTCTGGGCGCCAGCTCCAGCACCTCCACCTTGCCCCAGAGGACTCTCACCATGCCCAGCTCCAACAACGCAGCGACGGCCTCCACGTCCAGCACGAGCAGCAACCCCACCAACAGCAACAAGGTGGGCGGCTCCAGAGACTCGCTGCTCGAGAGCAGCTCCTCAGCCCTGGGGAGGCTGCAGAAGCAGAGCGTGGGGGCCTACTCCAAGTCCTACACGCTGGTGTAGTCCGGTCCGCTGCACAGACTCGCACTGCTGCCCCGCTCCGCAGCCAGCACCACTCTGGCTCTCAGAAGTCTGGGCCACAACAGGCTTGCGGGCATCTTTCTGAAAGCCAAGCTCATGGCGAACCGCCCGGCTTCCTGTCTACTTTTCCTTCAAGGGGGCGGAGGCGTTGGAGGCCTCCTGCCCGTCTAGACAGAGACCCAGCTAACCCTATTGTTCATGTTCAAATGGAACTAAATATACGAGAACTACTAACTCCAACTAACAGTTCCAGCCGGCTGGTGCTCAACTCCACTCAGTTCCTGCAGGAGACACACAGCCAAATGCAGAATGTGATTTCTGTGGTCATTTTTGCAAATATTGACTGTAACCAAAGAGCTGAAGGCTCTGAGTTCATGAAAACTATAATAGCCAGTATGAAGCTGTGTGACCATCCTAATTTTTCACACACACACACACACACACACACACACACACACACACACACACACACACACACACACACACACACACACACACACAATGTCCTTCATAGTTTTTGATTTGACTTATTTTGTATTTTTTGATCAGTTTGCAGGACTTCATCGAAGTCCCCTGTTTTCCCACGCTCTCTCTCACTCTCTTGGTGTCTCTCCCTAACAAGAATTGGCAGATTTCCCTTTTTTAATTGCGACTCCAAAAGGTAATGATTCAGATTCACCTCCACAAATCAGTATTCTCCACTCATCTCTCTGCAGCTGAACGGTGTCTCAACTCTTCAGTCCAGTCACTTCAACCCCAGTGAAGCAGCTGTAATTTCTCACCTTACAAATAGAGAATATTTGGTATTATAAAGAATTTTACATATATATTTCTATGTAGGTATATTATTGACGTCTAAGGGAAATGATGACAAAGTATAAACTGTATGCGCTACACCGACGTGATAGTTATATACAGCGGTTTAATGTTACCGGCAAATTTTAAGAAAGGAGACAATCGCTCAATCATTGAATTTAGAAGTAGAGAAAATTTAAGAAAAGTTGGACTTAAGAAAGAAAATGTTTAGTATATATGTGAGATATTCTGTATGTTAGTGCGTGCTGGCCAGCTAAGGAAGAGTGACCCTCTCTGTTGTGGAGACGGGCGAACAGACAGCAGGGTGGGAAGATTTACACCGTCCCTGGGCTGCGGCGCCTTGGTTGTTTGTGTGGCTTTGGGAGGGAAACAATCACAATACCAGGCCTTCAATGATGTCTTCTTATATAGCTTGTTACTCGCCCGAGTGCTTGGTTTAGGTTGATAAAAATTGCAGTGTCTTGTGAAAAGCTGTTGTGCCTCTTTTCCACGTCACAGCCGCTAACTTCAACGTGTTTTATTGGGATATTATGTGACAAAGCAACATGAAGTAGAGTTAAATTGGTGGTGGATGTGAAATAACGTGTGATTATCAATAGGTTTACATGAAACAAGTATTTTAAAAAAAAAGATTATGTCAAGAGGGATGCATTCTTTAGCAAGGCACTGTATATTGTTATCTCAGTGGATCCCAAAACACCTTTATGCAGTTTGCTGCAGAGTGGTTAGAGACTTGGGTTGTTCTCCGGTTTTGAGGCCTGTGTTTGTGGCTAGATGGCGAAATCCTCCCAAGATGTAGTTATTTGCTTCTCAGCCAAATAAATAAGCTGAACTGAATGCCAGTCATAATGTGAATGAACTATTAATAATATTAATGTCAAGAGATGTTATATGTCAGGGAATTCAGTTATGAAAATTATATGATGTTCACGGAATTGATATCTTTGTTGTCGTCCTGTCTGAAGAACTGTAAATGTCCCACTCTTTTTTATCTCCACGTCATCCCTTCCCATGATCCTTTTCTCACTGTTGTACACAAGAACCTATGGGAAGGCCTTTTTGTCCCACGATAGTGTTTTGTGTTGACTATTTATTTACCCATTTGCTTTGTTTGTTTGTCTGCTTGCTTGTTCAGAGGAAAGGAGGGGGCTTTTTGTTGGTCTTTTTTGCTTCTGTTTAAATTTAGGTTCCAGGGGTCCAACAGTACACGGCCTGTGTTACACACCAGTTCAGCCAAGTAAAATCAGGGACTTGTGGCTCTTTTGGTCATACAGACTACTATTGTATTATGTATATACTGGACCGGAGCCACGTTGTGAAACGGCAGCGTTTCGGCTCTCGCCTTCGTTCCCCACCCAGACAAACTGAGGTACAAATTTGCCCCCCCGCCCCACACCAGACCCGTCATCTCTACCTTCGTCAGTGTTGTTTTTAAATTGAGTCTTGTACATAAAACACAGTTTTGTATGAAGAGCTATTTTCTTCAGAATAAATCAGGGGACGCATCAAGGTGGAAAGTCCCACTTTCAAAATTGAAATGACATCACAAATTGTTTTTCTGTTTTTTTTTGTTTGTTTTTTTTTCTTAAGATGGACAAATACATTTTTCCCCCATTATGTTTTTGATACTAATTTGAAGAATTTTTTGTCTTTTTTTAAGAAAAACAAAACAATGTATTTTGATGTTGTCATTTGTCCCATTTGCTTTTTTTTTAATATCATTATTTTATATTTTGTTCGACCCTCGGAAAAGTCATTGCATGCTTGCTAAAAGGGAAAAATCGATGGAAAAATGTATGAAAAGTTAAAAAAAAAAAAAAGACGTTGAAGATATCCCAAACATTTCTTTAAGTTGCTTGTTACAGCAATTGCTTGTGTTCAAAGGTACATTTTCTATGAAAAAGCAAAAACTAAAAAGATCATTCTAACACCTTGTGCAATAAAGCTATCTTTCATATGCCATGGCTTCTGTCATTTGTCATTTCCAACCATTTTCTATTTGGCCTAATGTTATTCAGAACCCAATGTTTTGACATCAGCCTCCAGAAAGGAAAGGACAAGTATCTATAGAATACAAAAGCAAAAACATGTAAATACTTGGACAATTGTACCTGATCAAGCCAAACCACCGCCAGCACTCTGCTGGCAAATTTCAGACCATTCACTAAATTTATTTTGAACTGTTGCGATTTGTTTAAAAATGTCTTCCTGGTAAAACAGTGCATCCAAATATCACCATAAAGTCTAACTTCTCCACTCAAACCCGTTTTAATTCAACAAAGTCACAGTGACATTATTCACACCACAGGAAAAATACACAAAAAGGCTTTGCAGACAGCATAAAACACCTAATGAGAAATGTGGCAATCAGAAGACATTGATCAGAATGAAAAAAGTTCCTTCAGTTCTCTTTATTTTTATTTTATTAAAGGCATCCATAGTTTGCATCTATTTATAAAGGTGTGGTTCTGAAACAGAGCAGTAAACCGTTATATGACTGTAAAGCAGGGAAATGAATTATTTAAGCACTCAAACTACAAACTGAAGCCATTTCTAAAAACTGCTGTCATTGTTTCTATGATGCAAAGGAGCTGACGGATGTATAACAGCTGAATCCACATCATAAGTCAGAAAGATGTGACCTTGTAAGCCAACAGGCTGAAAGCGCAAACATCCAACCCTGTTTAATTCAACAATACTTCCTGGTCGCTTCCTAGACATCCTCTATTTGAAGTTGAGATTAATAAATCCATTTTCTGCTCCGCCTCCTACTGGCGTCTTCTGAAAGCAGCTCTCTGATTGGCTCGGCAATTAAGAGCTCAGTCGCCTTTCAAAGCAACCATTTCTCCCGCGGAGGAAGGGAAAGGTCAGAGTTAGCTGATGGGAATCCGGAAACGTGTTTCATGCGGTTTGCAAGCGCGTCCGACAGCCTGTGATCCTGAATCGATTTCACGAATGTTGACTGACACCCCGGTGCTTGATAAATCGCTCTGTTGCCCCGCCGCTAGTGCCCTCTAGTGGCTGCTCTAAACAATCATTCGCATCCTCCTCATTGGCTGTGCACCGCATTGCATCCGAATCGTCGCTTCTGGACGCTTGTCTTCAGCACAAGAGATGTCCAGCAGGTTCCATTTAGATGTCGAGGGAGGATTTTTGATACTTGTGGTGCAAGTCGTTCTCACTCGCCTAAATAATTATTTTGGCTTGTCTCCCACAAATCTAGAGCACTCGAGCGCATGCATTCGTGATCTGTTAGACGGGACACACCCAAAGCTCTTATCGTTTTTTCCCCCCCTTGCTCTACATCTAAACGGCCACAGGGTGGCGCAGGGATCCTTTCAAAGCTGTGGCGGTCCACAGAGGTTTCGGGATACTGTGACGAAAAGCTGCTCACCTCAAAGAGTGCAGCCGTTCATGACGGCTATGCTGTGAATAATAGATGTTTCTTATACTCCGGTGCGTTTATCCTAAAGCTTCTGCTTAGTAAGCTTCAGTGGAAGTGCCAGTTGTTCCTGCTTACAATATGTCATGTGTTCATCTTGCTGAAGGTGTGTGCTTATCACTTTGAAGATGAGATGTCAGGCACATTTTTCTAAAGAGTGAAGTTTATCTGCGGTTCAAATTTAATAAAACGTGATTTATTCCTGGTTTGGTTCAGAAAGTAAATCAAACACGAATATACGCTCTGCTGTTCCAACCAGTAGGATGCCTGGTGCTCACAGTGCTTTGAATACCAAAATCAAAAGTCAGACTCTTTGACTGGAAAATTAGATCAATAATAATAAAAAAATACATAAAATAAAAAAAACATACACATACATACACATGCAGGAAGTTTTACAAGATTTAATTTATTAACTATTGTACAGTTCACATAAGGCCTTCATATTCGAACGTTTTCTCGGTCAGACAAATTCCACCGTTTGCTCCTGGTGCACACAATACATGAACTTTTTCAGCTAAATCGTGTTCTCACACTTACTTCATGTTTTAAAAACAGAAAGAGGGCATTCATCCTCCTCCCTTCGTGTGTGGTCTTATGTTTTTTTCTTTGTTATTATTTCTTTTGTTGTTTTTTTTGTTTTTTTTTTAAATCATGCACTAATTTTAAGTGGCCTTTTAAACCATTCACAAAAATTGTAAAAAGGAGCCTCCGATAATTGAAATACACACTAGAAATGTTTTCTACCATCAACTAAAGGGCGGCGTCCCTCCCTCCCCTTCCCCACAACGCACAAACAAACAACCATAACCGAGACACGGTGTGCACCCAATCGTTGATCCTTTCAACGGCACGTTTGGTCGGGTATTTTTTACTCTCTCTTTATTATTTATTTCCTTTCCTTTTTTTGCTGAAAGCCAAATAATGCAGCAGTATTATTTATACACTCCCAGGTATCATGTTGGTCTGAATGGTCGAAGCTTCAAGCTCAGGTCAATCTGAGAAAAACACTTCATTTTTTTTTTTTTTTTCTTCCTTGTTCCAGTCTGTTGAACACAAAAATTACAATCCCCCAACAGTACCAGTAAAACAGATGATCCCAATGCAAACGCAACCAAAAGACAGTGCTACAATCCTCGCATTTGAAAGACAGCAGGCTACTTTCTTGTTAAAAGTTCATAAGGTTAAAGTTAGAGGGCCTTCATTTTGCAGAGCTGCCTCTGAGAACGGTGAGCAGACGCTCCCCGAACGGGTCCCAACCGCAGCAGGGGTTTCGCTTCTCTCCAAACCAGGTTCCGTCTCAGCAGAACCAGCAGTAACAGTAAAGATCCCAGACCCGGTTAAAGGTTCTTAATGTGACATGAATAAAAGGAGCCGAGGGTCGGCAGACGGGACGACAACGCGTCGGGCTGCCTGTCGCGTTTCAAGCATTTTGGTTTCCAGGGACACCGGCTGATGACGATGAGGATGATGATGATGATGATGGAAGCGACTAGGTTACACATTCAACATGGCAACAGTTCTCCTTCAACTGATGTCAGATTAAAAAAAACAACAACAAAAAAAACACAAAGCCCCTAAACATCCACTTGGATCAACAAACAGCCAGAAGATGAGAAGAATTTCTTTTTCCTTATTTTCCCCACATGTCTGGATGAATGAGGAACATTAAGCAGATTCAACTTTCCATCACAACCCAGAACAGGGGGCACAACTGGATCTAATTAGAAGACTAACTTTGCTTTTTTTTTTTTCTGTTTTGTTTTTTCTACAAAAAGATCCTGCACTCATGCCACATTCAGCCACTAAAAGCAAACAATATGGACAATTAACCTATGTGGCATTTCTTCATATTTAATACTACACTATCAAAAAGTGCTTCAGATAGGTCTGTGGATTAAAAAAAAAAAAAAAAAAAACAGGAAAAAACATGATGTAAACAAAGTTTGATCTGCCAGAGCTCGGTTGAGGCAATGGTACGTATGGCTGTTTGAGCAGAGAAATTAAAACAAACAAAAAATAAGCAAAGAAAAACAGTGATCATTAAAGTGCATCCCTGGATGGGATACCCCACCCTCTTTCCTTTCCCACCATGCTGAGCCCCTCAAATAGAGCAACATGAGAAATGCTTAAAAAAAAAAAAAAAAAAAAAGACGATAATCTTCTGCTTCTATGTAGCAAACTGCTGCCCTACGGACCTACAGGGGGCCTGGTCCATAAATCCAGTGGTGGTACTTTAAGAAAAATTAATATTACACATAAAAAAAGAAAATCATTCAGTCTAGCTCGGGTTGGAGGTTTCTTGGTAGCCTTGCAGCGTCCTCCGCCTCACTGATAATGGAAGCATGCCACATTTCACACAATTATGACCACCATCACTTCCTGCACCCCCTCCCCCCCACCACACACACACACACACACACACACACACACACACACACACACACACACACACACACACACACACACACACACACACACACACACACACACATCGTCATAACCTAGGTTTGTCCATGTTTGAGATTTCGCTGTGTTTGCTTTTTGTTTTTCTCGTGTCTGAATGTGTTTGTGTGTATCGGTGACACGGTCCAGCATCATCATGGGCACACACGGTGTCATGGTCTCTCACAGTGTCTCTTGTTCAGCAGGAGAATGGTGGGCGTGGGGGTGCTGGTGGAGCGGCGACAGCAGGGACTGAAGGGGCGACTGCGGCGTGGTGGGTGGAGACTGCTGCAGGGGGCTGAAGTGCGCGGCGGTGTGCGGAGGCGAGGAGCGGTAGCAGGAGTAGGCGGAGCTCCCGCCCAGGGTGGTGGTGGGCGAGGCGGGGAGGCCCCCGAGGCCCGTCGGGGAGTCGATCAGCGGCTGGTTGTAGAAGAAGAAAGCACACTGGTGGATGAAGGTCTCGATGATTGTCTGGTAGGTGCGCGTGGCAGTCAGGGCGTCCATTGTGGTGAAGTCGGGCCTCATGAGGGTGGGCCAGAAGCAGATGGACAGGTTTTCGCTGGTCATCAGGTTCACTCTGCTCAGCTGACTCACCCTGGGAACAAACACACAACACCACATCATCTACAGCATCCAAAAAACAGCAACTAATACAGAGTTAGTTCACATTTTGCAGCGTTAAACCACAGAGGTCTTTTAAGACATTTTATGCGTCAGCCCAACATGGAGAAGGGCGTGATCATAAAGTGGAAAGAAAAGGATACAAACCCACATTCTGTTGCAATAACAGCTGCAGATCTTTCAAGATTTTGAGTTAAAATGAATGAAAGTTTGGCAAAATAGTCTTAAAGTCAGTCAGATTAACTGAAGAGCATCTGTGAATGGAAACTGAGCCAAAAATTCCCAATTGGATTTAGGTTCAAAGTTTTGAGAGTCTAATGTACTGAAGACCAAAAGTATTCATACACCTTGCAGATTTAGATGTGCATCTTGTTTTCTATTTAGTAAAAAACTTTGTTTCTAATAGGGGAAGAGACAGGCGTCCTTCATAAGAGAAATAAACAATTTGAAATGGGTATCAAATCTGAAGCAAAAACAAAGCAACATTTATCCCGTTTTCATTTAAAAATATATACATTATTTGTTAAATTATTTATAACTTTCTCAATAGTTTGCCCTGTATTTAGTCCTATCTGCCTTCACATTGACCTATCTTTAACATGATGATCATGTCTCACCATGAGGATGGTGCGCTTGAGCTGGTGTGCAGAGTTGGTTTCCACATATGCAGTTACAAATGTAGCTTAAAAAATGTCACTTTTGATCCACCGTTCTGTGAAGAACGGTGGATCTCTGAAGCTCCTCCAGAGTAACCAAGGGCTTCTAGGCTTTCCATTTAACAACACTGGACTCTTAACAAGCTGTGACATTGCTTTATAACCCGACTCAGTTGAACTGGACTTTAATTTTGAGTGTCATAATATAAGAGGCGAAATACAAATTCACTCCTTACTTACTGGATTTCTATGTGCAAAAATGTTGAAAGCTGCTGTTTGTTGGTCTGTCATTTCTCAATTTAAAGTAATATGTTGGTGGCTATGACATGACAAAACATGGAAAAAGTTCAAGGACTTACACGGTCAAAACAAATGCAAACCCAGTCTGTCCTTTAGACCGGGCCTGAAATCAGAAAGCTCACCTGTTCAAGTGGCTCACTACATATCTGAAGACGTCGTAGTTCTCCTTGGGAAACTTCCTCAGGACGTCTTTCATGGCGTACAGCCTCTGCTCTCGGTCCATGATTTCTGCACAAACACAGAGTTACCTCTCACCACTAATCCATCGGATCAAATTTCAGCTGAACTCTGTCACTACATCATCGGGACAACCTTTCTCCCCAAACAGCGCAAACACACAAAACAATAGCAGACCAGATGAGCTCCCATCCCTCCTAAGGAAATAATCGTTTTATGTTTTGTGTGAGGACCCTCCCAGCCCAGCAGTGTTTGCTTACTGAAAGCGTCCAATAGCTCCACCTGCAGAGCACAAGGCACCAGGGGCTCAGGCAGCTCTGAGAAGAAGCTTTTGAGAGCTCCAGCCACAGTGTTTATGGCGAAGTCTTTCTCCACCAGGTCTAATCCGTGGTCTGAAGGGGAAACAACGACAAAGATACAAGGGATCAGATAAGAAAGCCAGAGCACCAGTTTCAGTCATCGTCAGCAGCTTGTCACTTTCATTTTGACAGCCCTGTGTTTATATTTTCAGTCAGATAATTACACATGAGCAACTCACCCTGTTCAAACTGCTTCTGCATGCTCTCCATCTCCGACTTGTTGCCACTCACACGGTACAAGCCCTCTGTGTTCAGGCCTGGAAGGACGAAGCAAGCAGAGAAAGAAAGGTGCGTGCATGTTGAGGGAGGCATAGTAGCGAAAAAGGAAAGCACAAATGGCTCATCGGCCATTCTGCGAACAGACATGACTATACAGATGCTTTCTGAAAGCGCCAAACAAATTACGTGGTCAGGTTACAAAGCTCTGAAAAAGAAGAAAGCTTGTTTTGATCATTAGGAGCTCTCCAGTTTTATTCATGGACTAAACAAGACTCCAAAGAAGAGTAAATGCTCTTTGTTTTAGCTTTTGCCTCTCTGTGACTTCTCGGTAATAAACCTTTGGAAGCGCTCTCCAGCATCGACGCGTCATGTGAACCGAACAACATAATCTCTGGTCCTTTATTGCAAGTGGCTAGTTCTTCGGCCGTTAGTTTGACTTTGTGTGAGTCCCAGGCCTGGAGCAGATGAACATATAGAGAAAGTCTGTCATCAACAGATGTCAGCTCAGCACGAAGGCTGAGGGGAATAAAAAAAAATCACAAATCTTATGAGGAAAGCATTGAGACACACGAGCCTTTCCGTAAATCGGTGGATTTTACGAGGTAGATCCATTTATGGTGAATGGGCGGAATATGAATAAACTGAATTACATTTAACCTTTAACCTAATTATCAAAACTGCAAACTATGGTAAAAGGACCACTAGCGGTAATTTTACTGGTAGTAATGATAAAAAACCATTTCGACCAGTAATGATTGTTTCTCTTTGTCTCAGTTATCTAGAGAATTTGCTGTAAATTGGAGCGAATTTTCCCAAATACAGAAAAACGAGTGGTTGAAGCAAATTGTTTCCAAGAGAGAGGAAGTGAAGTAGAGAAAATGTATTGTTTAATATTATATAAAAATCCAGTAAGTCTAAACATTGAATTAAACTTAACCAAGTTTTAGATGCATGTGAGATGTGCTGCTGGAAGTGCAAAGATACTGGAGCTAATGTCGGTCAGAGAAATCTATCTGACCGATTTTCATTTATTTCTTCAAGTACGCAGTGCAGCTGGGCAAGAATATGACTTTTAGATATTATACTTTAGATAAAAGAACAGATTTTATGGATTCTACTTGTTTTCTAACATATCTTCACCAGATGCAGCACATTATTACATGAACTAATACAGTATGTTTTCAAAAGAAAAATACAAACACTCTGACTCATAGAAAAATGACTGGGTGTTATTGTGTTTGTCTGGTCAGTGCCTTTAGTGGAAGCAACACTTCAGCTTATCTGGCAGTCTTCAGCTAGTGGAGATATGGACAGCGCAATCTGGAGCGTTTCTGCTGATTCCAGCCAATTTATGAATGAGTCAGCACTGACCTTAACTGTGCGTAATATTTGCTTTAAAGCAATTGTTAGATGAGTATCGGCAGCCTCGGCATCCATTTACAAACAAAAGATCAATGTAAACATCTATTGTGTTCAATTGGCCAGTATCTGATAAAAATGCGTATTAAAGATAATAACCACGAAAAGATAACTGAAGCATTCTTGTTTACCAAGTTACTCCTACAAATTAATGCATTTTCAGTTTTCCATTTCATATATTAAACTGTTCATTATGACTAATTCTTTTCTCTAGTCTTTCAAAAAGCACTTAAGTCTTTATTAACGCACAGAAACGCTTTCATTTTTATAATTAGCATGGGCTGAATGACAAGATCATCAGAGTAGAAATTCTCACTTTGCTCCTGAATTATTTAAAGCCGCAAACTCGGGATGCTGAGCCCTAAGTGTCGATCAGTTCAAATCTGTAAGAAATAAACTTTATGTATTTTTGAAAGGCATCTTGAACAAACCTAAATGAGCATTTAGGTCTGTAATCTTCTCAATATACCAAAGGAAGGAACTCACCTGTTTTCTCAATGAAGTGGACGCACTTCTCTATGAAAAGTGGAATTGGTCTGTCTGGGGAGACCACACTTGCTAGCGGCACTCCAAAGTAACAGCTCTCCATGGGCTTGGAAATGGATGGACGCGGCTTTGGTCTTGATTTCTGCGAGAGATGAAAACGGGACTTTTGATTAGTTTAAAATATTCATCAAAGCCAGGTTTCCCTCATAGAGGCTGCTAATTCTCGAGGCTTGTAGATCCACCTCTCTGGGATTAGGAAGAATAGTGCACTGTACTCCAAAGGCTGAAACAAAATGATAATATTCAACATTTGGACAAAAACTACTCTAATGATTCTAAGATTAAAAATAGAAAAGGTTGTAATAATACAAACCTTGGCTGTTCGCCTGAGGCTCTTCAGAATGTTCCTCTTCTTTGGATCCTCGATCTCCTCGTTAACAAGACTGTCACCTTTCAAAGTCCCAAAGTCATCTTCTTTGGACTTTGACAGAGCTCCCATTTCATCGTCGCTGCCTATAAAGCTTGTACGGAAACTGCTGAACTTGCCCAGTCTCTTCGAGCGGTCGCGGTACAGTCTGGGCTTCACTCCGATTGCTGAGAACTTCCTCCTTCGCTCCAAAGAGCTGCTGTCTGCCTCGCTGTCTGAGCCATTTCCATTTGAATGCATCCTGTTGGAGTTGCGGATGGTAATGATTTTGCCCTGTGTGCTGTCATGTGGAACTGAGTAGATGATTTCTTCGTTGCTAGGGCGGGGTTTTGAGACGGCATCGATGGGTTCGGCGTAGTCTGAGGGGTCGTAACCCACATCTCCACCAGGTACCCAGGTAACAGCAGAGGGCAGGGACCGACGATGACCTAGGGTGTCGATGTAAGGACTACGGCTAACCTTCCGGAAGTCAAAAGTGACACCTGGTTTTACTCTCACTTGGGGGGTATTTTGTTGTTGAGCTTATTTTCAAAGTCTCTGATATCAGATATGACAGAGATGTCACTGGAGTCCAAGTCCGGCATGTTGAAGCCGCCACCGTGAGAGGAGAGAGTGCCATCGTAATACGGTGGAGAAGGCTCTACGTCATCCTCCGAATCCACAAACATGGCCATAGGACTGGGAGAGATGCAGCGTGGGGAGTATACATTTTCACCGGTGCAAGCTTCTGCAACATTGTCATACATATGTGTGGCCTCCACGATGTTGCGCTTCTCCACCACCTCCATCAGAAATGAATGAAACATTTCTATTCTGTGCAGGCCTCCCACCACTCCCCCGGATCCACAAACCACACTATTGAAACGACCCTCGATCTCATGGGCCAGCTCCTCCCCCTGAATCAGCTGTTCACAGGCAAAGTCGCTGTCAGTGAGCTCGGCCTGACTATCTCCTACTGCCAACAGCTGAACGGGGATAATGTCCTGAACCTCACATAAGAATGCACACAGGGTCTCCAGGGAAGCTTTCCGGGTGACTGAGTACACAGCAATATAGCCGTGCACTAACCTGCTCTTCCTTAAAGTGAACGAGGCATGATATGAGAGGAGAGAAAGCTCTATGGCCAGCTTGTGCCCCCCAACAGTCTGCTCTAACAACACAGAAGTGCCACTATTCGACATAGGTCTGCAATGCTGATGCATCAGGAAAGGAGACAGGAGCTGTTCAATGTCATAGGGGTCTCCACACATTAAGCACAAGACAATTCGTAGATCTGCCTCTTGGGCTGGCTGATGTGGAGAGTCTCGGAGACCGGGAGGCTCAGGGAGGAGAGGTGGGGAGCTGCTACTAAAAGATGTGCTCCTTCTAACATCAAGAAGGCCTCTCAGCACCTGATTGATCTGAGTCTCATTTACATTGTGCCCATAGCCCACACCGGGGGAGGCTGGGTCTAAAAAGCTACACTGTAGTCTCCTTGCAACTTGTTGTCCCTGTGTTATTAGGTTTAAGGCAGTGTCTCCACCTATATCAACATATGAGCCCACCCCTCTTTTAGTGACTAAAAGAAGGGATGTTGGCAGCTGAGCCAGCTGGCTATCCCTTCGACCTAGAGTTGATTCCCTAAGTCGCTCAAGACTTTCTACCACATAAGATAGAGAATCTTTTGAGTTATAGAGACAAAGACATCCATGAGGGGTAAATGTGGGGGTGTGGAAGGAGTTTACTGGAAGACGTACGTTCCCCTCAATAGGCCGCAGTGTCAACTCGTACATCTTCCCGTCTAAAACATACCAGTCATCATTTGTGCACAGAGCTCTAATCTCATTGGCAAACTCTCTGGCCAATCCATCCTTACCTAGGATGACCAAATTAATTCTATCCGCTTTGGTGTCCCCAAAATGAGCTTTCACATCAAAGAAGGGGTAACAGGTGGGAAAACGAGATGCGAGGAGTTGCTCGATCTTAGAGTCTCCACAGTGAGGGCTACTGGGGCATGTTTCCTTGGTGGGGTGATAGACAAAGTGAATATGCTTCAGCACAAGGGCATCTCTTTCAGCAGGAAGCTTTTGCAGCGCCTTAAACCTCTGCTCCTCTCCCAGAACCTCCTGAATTGCTCCCATCTTTTCTTTGCTTGGCTTGGCATCCACTTCAAGCTCATAGAAAAGCTCAGAGTATTCAAGCAGAAGCTCCTGGAAATCTTCTTTAGCACGGTCAATAATCTCCTTTTGATGGCGGTTGTACAGGTCCAAGTACTCTGGCTCCTCGAGCCACTGATAAAACTCCTCATTCATAATGAAGCTGCGGGCCTCCTCCCATGGTTTACCGGGCGTGACAAAGGGTGAGGATGCTAACTTTTGCTTAAACTCCTGTCTTATTTCTGCACGTCTACATTCATTTCTTAGATGTTCCAGATGGGCATTGAATATATCTTCTGCTTCAGCAGTCTCCAGCAGGTCTGAGGGGATTCGCTCGTCCTCCATGTTGTCTATGTGAGATGTGTCTTCCCATGGAGAATCCTCCAGAACGACAAACCAGTGAGTAAAGTGTTGCTTGGACTCCAGCACTTTCTGCACTCCAGACCAGCTCAGCTGATCTATTTCATCGAGATCCGGCACCAGTGAACTAAGTGCTAAAGGGAGAGTGCTAAGGTATATCCGGCGACGCCTCTCGATGTGCTCTTGCTTCAGGCGGTAGACGTGCTGCTGAAAAAGCTTTTTGCATTTAGCTGTTCCTTCCAAGAAAACATATTCTTTGTACTCTGGTGAGTTGTTCATTCGTCGGCTGGCATTTAACCAAGTTTCATTATGATTTTTGACAATACGATTAATGAGCCACTCATAGCGATCCTTGGCTGAGGCTATTTGCTGACTCTGGAGTTTCAGGGCTTCAAAATAAGGTATGATCTTGGGCTTGCCCCTGCTCTTATCAATAAGCTGAACCAACGTGAGGAAGGCTAGATCCACATTAATATTTGAGCGAGCAGAAGTCTCGACTACTGGGAGGCTTTTCTTTGTGATTGCAAAAGTATGCGCATCTTTGATATAGCGTTCAACACCTTCGTCGCATTTGGTCAGCACCAGCACAATGGGCTTCTTGGTCTTGCTGAGCTGGCCATAAAGGTTTGTGACGAATTTCAGCTGGTCATCAAAGTTACGGTTCATGCCACGGCTCACGTCAACACAAAGCAGGAAGCCATCGACCTGCAGTTTCCCCTCTGGCATTTGCTTTTGCTCAAAGTCTTGCTCCAAACCCAGCTGATCTGTACAGAAGTACATGAGTTTCTCTGCCGAGGCCAACTTGGTCGCAGCTGCTCGCTTGATATAGGGCTGCATAGCAGTGCTACGGTGTGGCTGAAATGTCTGGTCATCTATGAATTCGGTTTGCTCCACTACATGCATCCTGCACTCAGGGCCCTCCTCCAGGACACGAGACACCTCCCCCCAAAATAGAAAGTGGTCATTGTTAACCACACGACCCCCAAAGTCACTCGTGCTTAAAACTGATGTGTGGTCCAGGTAGAAATCATCGGCACTGGGTCGCACAAACCGATTGCACAGGCAGGATTTGCCCACCCCACACTGGCCCTTCTCCTTCTCTGTTCCAGACAAACCCACCACAATGAGGTTGTAAATGGGCGATCGGGCATCTTGCTTTTTCGCCATCATAGCCTTTCGAAACTCATCCTGCCACAAATAGGCACTGAGTAAAAGAGATCACTAATATGCTGGTCCGTATACTGCTGATCCACAGAACAGATCAAATTGCTCCTTCTTCTGCTGGGCGTCACTTATAATAAATAGCAGTGCAGTGATAAGAGCAGCAGGTCCTTTCATTCATTCCTTATAAGAGTCACATCCTGTCAAAACAAACAAAAAGAAATGAAGTCAGACAAAAAGAGCATTTGTTAATCAAGAAAATGTACAAAAAAGAAACTGAAGACATTTGGAAATAATGAACATACCAGTAAATTCAAAAATTTAAATTAAAATCTAATATATCCAATTGCAATATGCTTATAAATGCTGTGTATCTCTAAAACAATGATTATAATTTAACACCAAGCTGACCTTTTCTGCACAACACTCTTATTGTTTCAGCGACAAAAAAAAGTCCCTTTTGCTCATCGATATTAAAATATCAATTATTTACCAAAGTGTGACATTTTGCAAGCACAACTTACATCAATTAGTTGCACACTGTGTGAAATTATTCTGTTCCCATTCTTACTTTACAGCTCTAAGATTTTTATTGTTTTGTAAAGCCCTATTGCATTTCTTTGGCACCGTCATTCATTACAAGCCAAACCCAGTGAGGGGAGTGTTACAGAAACACCAATGCCAGCCATTATAATATCTGCTGGCAGAAGCCATTGATTTTTCTCACACTGTAGTAGCAGCCAAACCTGAAAAACACAGGTTTACGCAAATTTCCATGAAAAAGGGAAGCTTATTTATTAGCAATTGTAGCGCTGCAGCTACAATGCACAACAATGAGGATGACGGACTAGTTTGACACGTTTTCTTTGTTGTGTGGACAAATTCTATCTTGTAATGGCATCTTGCTGGAACTCTGCATTTGACTGACAGCAGATTTTTGGATTAAACTGCTGAAAATTTTATTCAGTAATTGAGCTTTAGCCTGAGTAACACTTTCATTGGTGGCAAATTAAAAGAAACTGGGCCACGGTCTTTGCATTTTACCAGGGATGATTATAGGCAGTAATCATCAAAACTGCAGAAATAACTCTCTCAGCTGATCTGAAATAAAAAATAAAAAGAAGACAGTGACTGAGATCCAAAATCTAAGCACAAGCATGTTGGGAGTGGCTCTTCCAGTGATGTATCAGCTGATCAGTGAGTTTAGTGACATGCATATAAATGACTGTGCTGTCGACACGCTGTTCTCTACTTATCTTTAAGCCAGACAAAAAGTGCTGCTACAAGAGGGGGAAAATGACCAGATTTAGATTCATGATATTGCTTATGAATAGAAATGTTCAATCTTTGATACATTGGAAAATAAATGTTAACTTAAACGTCTTCCAGCCCAACAATCTATCCTCCCATCCCCCAACTATCTTCTTATAACAACAGCATAATCAAACCACATTAGGTAGCAAAATGTATATATATATATATATATGTGTGTGTGCGTGTGTATGTATATAAATTTTAAATAAACTAAACTCTCAAACTATACAAGTTTCTGATGTTTTGGTTAAAAGTTAGAAAGTTGAGGTATTTCAGAAATTATTCATGCTAAATATTCCCGAGGGGAAATGAGTTGAAACAATCTTCCAAAGCAAATCTTCTGGGTTCTGATATATATCTATTGGAAAAAACATGTTTAAGCTTTTATTTCTGGATATTAACTTTAATCCCCACTATAGCTGCATCTTCTAAAACTCAAAAATATGTCAAGGCTTTCAATGTTGATTGTCCAACCACTGCAAAACATATATTTGTAGACATATACAACTATTTAGCTGCACAGATAAAGACAGGTGCTCTTCAAGGATCAGTATTTGAGCCATTTCTTTTTTTTTTTTTAAATCATTTATATAAACAATCCAGGAATAACTATGCATCCAGTTATAGTTCACTTTTAAGCAGATGAAACAATCATCAGTCCTTATCAGCAGTAGACTCCATTTTACCTGTTCTACCACGTCAAAGCTTTTTCTTTTTGACCGAGTCAAATATTTAATACTAAAAAGACTATAAATATAATCTTCACAAGCTCCTCCTCAAACATACTAATAAAAGCCACTAGAAAAAATACCCCCCCCCCCAAAAAAAAAACAACAATCAAACACAAGAACAAGCAGAAAATGCCATAAACTTTCTCACCCCATCTATTTTTAAAGCACAGATAACTGCTTCTATATCAGTACTGATGCAATGCCATTATGATGATGGCCACTTCATAATGTAAAACTAACACAAAGTCACCTTGGCGACTTCGACATAACCCAAGCAGTTACATTTAAAATGCAAATAGACATAAAAAACAAGAGGTGGCACAATTTGCTCTTTCTGTAAAGGCAAAGTCCAGCGGGGTCAAAAACAAATGTGGGCAGCTCAGCTAGGCCTGACGCCCGAATAAACAGATATTTTTAAAAAAGAAGAAAAAAAAAACAATCTGACACCTTCTGAGCAGGGATCTGGAGCGCAGATTGTATAACCCGCTTACAGAGACGAGTTCTGTGTTCCGCCGAGGATTACCAGTGAACATTGGCTTCAGGGCGCGCAGAGGGGCTGACCACGCCAGGCCTGCTGCCTTAACGCGACTGCAGCGCCGGGGCTGTGGACTGACCTGCCCTGCTCGCACGCCGACACACACAGCGATTAAAGGGAACCCACTTTCCACGCAGTTTTGTTCTTGGGTGTGAGCACTCGACAGCTTCCCCCGGCTCGGCCAGCAAAGGGGCCGATCGGAGCGCGTTTGGGCATACATACCATCGCGTTTCTCCCCCTTTCTCTCCGCTCGCATCTGTCAGGCCGGCGCTTGCCGCAGCCCTCGCCGCCGCCTGATGTGTATGAAGCAAAAGCCGCAGAATAAACGCCAGGAACTGCTCCCAAAATCACTGGTATCACAACGCTGCGTATGGCGCGGTCAGTGGGAATCAATCCCCATCACACATGTCTGGATTCTCGCCCCCTTCTTGTTTTTTGTTGTTGTTGTTTTTTTTTGTTTGCAACAGTGTTTTTTTTATTGTTGCATAAAAACGCCGGGAAGAAATAAATATGTTAAAGATTATTCTTGCAAAAAAAAGGGAGGTTTCCGCCTGCGAGATTCGGGCGTGTTAAAAAAAAAGAAAAAGGCAAAGAAAGTCCTGCTCCAGACGTCTTCCTCTCGGTTCACCACGTTGCTTTTTCAATCATTATTCTGTCCATTGTTGTGGCCACATAATAACGCTGGGCCGGCGTCGCACAGCAGACAACAGTGAGTTTGTTGTAATCGCCCTGGTGTCTCCTCTGAAACGTGCTGCCGCCTCGACGCGAAGCCTTTCCGTGTCCTGGGCAATTTTTAGGAGCCGATCGCGCGTGTGAAAGTGGGGATTTCTCTCGGCTTTCCGATAATGGCGGCGGCGGCCCTCCTCCTCCCCGGACCTAGAGCTCCTCTTCTTTTCTTTGGGAAAAGGGAGCAGCGGAGACCGAAGCAGCCGAGAGAGGGACTCGGTCTCACCCAGCGGCGCCCTCACACAACTGCAGCAGGTCGGCTCTCTGTTGCTCTAACTCTCCACCACGCCGATGCCTCTGCACCGTTTCTGACCCAAACGCGATCGATTAGTCAATACTGTTCAATGCGAAACTTGTATCGAACAATCGCCAGTGCATATTGTGAGAAAAAAATGTGAATGTTTTCCTTTCTGTTGGAGAAAAGCTGAACATTTATGATTTTTATTTTTGAACCATTATGCCCCTTTTCTGTCTTCCAACAACTGTGCATTTAAAAAGTACGCATAATACTTTAACTTCATTATATTTTATCACATTACCGCCAATCTTCATTATTTGATTGTAATTTGATGCAACAGTAGCACCCACTACTTATGTAAAAATCTATAAAAGTGCACTTTCATTTCTTTTAAGAGATATACATGTTTTCCTTTGATTATTAAGTCATTCAGACCTTCCACAAAGGGAAACAGATACATTTACAAAGCTCTATATTCAACTGAAACTTGGCAGCAACTGCAAATGTAGCAAATACGTGACATATAGTAATGCAAGTAGTCTGTGTATGACAACACATTGATGTGAAGCATTAAAGAAAACATATGTCATCTAAAATAAAGTAGAAATAAATACTATCAGGTACTAAATTTTGAAAATGTAAACCAGAGGACTGTTTTACAGAACACTTAATTTATCCTGAGCTTTTTAAGAAGTGTCAAATTTGAATTAGCCAATGGTGATGTGGTTCACGCCATACAACTGACAGGTTTATTGACCGTTTTTCAATGATTAATCTGTTTTAAGGAGGCACTCAAGGAGATTAGAATTAATAAAGTGCAAGAGCAGCATCAGACAAGCAATTATTTGTTCCAGGGCTGGTCAGTTTGGAGAAGCAAGAAGCAGTTTGACAGGTCGTTAAAGGGCCAGCACAGAAACAAACACAGACAAATTATGTCCAGTAGCATCAAAGAATATGTAAAATGAAAAATTCTACACAGACCTTTTGTTACTTTTAATTTGAGTTAGAGAAACATATTAATTAAGCTGCTCTTATCTGTCAGAAATCTTGTTCGTAGCCCCTTAGCAATACTTTGAAATGGTCTCGGTCTTGCTTTGTGAGGCACCATAACCTAGTGGACTCAGCAGCCCATGCAGACACTCCCATCAAACGACAGTTTAGAGAGACTAATAGTCATGTTTTTGGACTGTGGGAGGAAACAGCAGTACCTGGAGAAAACACACTCATGCACAGGGAAAACCTGCAAACTCCATGTAGAAAGACCTCAGACCAGAATTCAAACCCAGAACCTTTTGTTGCTGCAAGGTAACATTGCTACCAACTGCACTCTTGCTTTTTATATGACACTTAAAAGTTTTTATTTTAATATATTTCTGTTTTCGATGTTTATCTTTACTATTTTCCTGTAAAGGATTTTGAATTACCTCGTGTAAGAATGCTATGGTTGTTGCCTGTGTATCAACATTGACTGAAAATTAATATACATTGTTTGTTGGGTGGGATATGTATTGCACAACCACACCAGTTGGGGTTAACTTATTTCTAAGGTAACAGAAAGACGACGGAGTCTCTATGACTTTCAAACAATCCAAGATAACAAAGGAAAGAGAAAGAAAAATACTAATGAAAACCACTTCTAGAAAGAAGTGCGCTGTTGAAAGAGCAATTCCCTGCAGTTCCCTTTAGCCTAATAAATATTCATTAGCTGTAGACCATACTCCACTGCTCTTCCACCTTTGATGGGGCTGCTGCTGAACTGGATCAGCCAGATGGATAAATGCTTGGATCTTATTGGAGGAGAGGCTCTGTACAGACTGCAGGAGCTGATCCAATCTAACATCAGCCATTAAATAGATCAGTCATCAACATCATATCTGATTACTGTTACCTTCACTGTTGCTGCCTCCTGGTGGATTTACACACCATAACCCGGCTGACATCGCCTTCTCATTGAGGGTTTTACAAGATAATTATTATTATTTTTTTTGGTTTGATGCAATGCATGTTTCTTTTCATGCATTTTTTTTGTATGCTGTGTTTTGTTATTCTGTTTGTGTTCAGAGATTTCTGACAGGTAGTGCAGGTGGGATGAATTTTACATTCTCCAGGCTCCAGGCTTTGCGGTAGAAGTTACCAAAGCTGTTAAAGCTCCGGACGACTCGACCATTTGGAAAAAAAACCAGGTAGGCACTGTTGCATGAGTTGCGTAATTACATGTCATATATGTTTTAGCCTTAAAGTATGATTTGACACACTTGCTCAAAAAAAAGTTTTACTGCATTTAAATGAAAACCTTGGTTATTAACAGTCTTCAATGTTATGGATAGATTTGTTTTTTCTTTTTTTTTTGGGAAGCCAGAAGTAATGTGAAGTCATTCTTTCAGAAAAACCCAGATAGGAGGAACTACAACCATGTAGTTGATCTTACATCCACTAGGCAGAGCCATAAGGCTGAACTCAATACAGAGAGCAACACCAACACCTTCATGCACCTCATACGATTCTCCTAGCATGTTTATATCATTTGATTTATCTCTGTATTTTTCTTTTCTTGCTTACCATAAAGAAAAAATTGACTCACATCATCTATATTTTTAAGATTGTGTTATATTTACCTCATAAAACAAGTTTCTGCGGCTCTATGACTCCAAGGGGGTTTGTCTTACACTTCAGTCGATGTATAAAGGAGCCTCTATGTAACGGGGATCTGGGGGATGAGAGGCAGTAAAGGTTAGAACGGGGTGAAAGGGACAACAGATGGGCGCTGAGGGAGCTCTGCACAGGGAGACAATGGGTGGGAAAAGCCTTTTATACCATGCGAATAATAAACATTTACTACTGGTACGGTACAATATCTGAGCATCTTTCAAAAATTGTTTTTTTTCTCCAAAGTACAGCTTCACGATTGGCTCATAAATGGTAAACAATGTTCAGGAGAGAGGGGGTGGGGAGGGAAACAAACCGAAATATTTGGCTTGGTGAAGTCTGTCTGGATTGCAGCTGGAAACTGAGCAGTGCAGAGTTCAAACCAGGGCACAAGAACAGGGAATCACTTCACTGCCAGATGCCGTCTTTTACCAACGATGGCAGATATGAATAATTTGAATAACTGAGATTAAAATTTAATTTGACTATGACAAAAAATATATTGAAAAGAATTAAAGTTTATGCCAAAAAATCGTTGCTGCAATCTTTGGATTTCTTCCCGAGTCAGATGTTCAGAATTAGTTGTGAAGTTTATAATTAGATCTTCTTAAATTGAAATCAGATAGAGAGGCATACCAAGCATTTGTTGCCAGTTTTAATGAACGGTGTCATAAATAACATGAACTGAACCTTTCTGCCTTTTAAATCCTTTTTTAATGACCGTTTTTACAAAATGTTGAGAGGCACAAAGTGCAGTTATGTTTCTGAATGAGGAATTTCTCCTTAAGGAAGATCCTGAACATCAGGAAGCATGAAGGAAGGAAATTCTTCCTGCAGGAACAGCTAAACAAAGATCGGAACAGTGATCGAAAACAACCTGGCAAGACAATAACACGTCTGAGGTGAGAAGGGCTGACCTTCCAGAGAGACCATTTTATTTTAATGAGCAGAGATATTTTTACAGGTAAAATGTCAGGAAAATCAGTAAGAAATGCTTCTGTGTTGACAGGCTGGGACAAAGGGACATATGTTTGATGGTTCTGTCCAGAAAACGACTAAACATAACCCATAGCCCATCAAACGCCAGAGTGTTTTTCCAAAGCTTTTGGACAAATAAATAATTATTATTAAATTTAACATTATGAAGAAAATCAAGTGACATAACCTGACAGAACTTAAGAAAAGGACTACTAAATCTTTTTGATACAATTGGTGAGAGATAATTTATGATGTAACGTATTTATTCCTCCCTAAAAGTGGTTTGATCACACACGAACAAACAATGTTTGCTGCACGACATTCTGACTCAACATTTTGAAAAGGGTTTATGTTCTTTAAAGCTCAGACGTTTTGTCTCTTGGAGTGAGAGGGAAGATGACAGCAGGCTGTAAAATTTAAAGAGAACTTTAAAGAGACAATGACCAAAACCATCGAACTTAAGCTACAAAGAGAAGGTTTAAAGACAACAAAGTGGATGTTCTGAAGTGGCCCAGTCAAAGCCCACACCTTAGTCACATAGAGAATTTGCTGTAGGCCTCAAAAGGGCTGTTTACATCATAGCTGACAATGCTTAGACAGTTTTGCAAGGAAGAATGGAGTGAATATTTACTCATTTATTTTATGGTTTCTTTATAGATCATTATTTTGTAACATCAGTTTTCAAATCAGTTTTTGTTGCTGTTGTTTTGTTCATAAAAAAAACTATTTCTACTGGTTTTACAACATCCAACATTAGAAAGATGTGAACTCTGTCTAAAGGCAGAGCCATTTAAATGGCTTGCACACATCTTTGCCTATTCTTATTCACACAACTACTTTCGGGGTTTTTTTTTCTGCTTGTTTAAAGATCCAGACGCATCCAAGCGTGGTAGAACTGATAGACAAAGTGTCTCTGTCTCTCTAGGTAGCATTACTCAGGTTCCTCCGCACTGGATATTTGATGATGCCAGCAGGGGAAAGTGAGAGATGTGAGGAGAGAGTGAAGTGAGAGGAAAGCTGAGAATCCAGAAGAGGGAGCTGTTCACCCACACGGGGCATCTGGCCTTGATTGCACTCCCTAAAAAAAGTCCAAAGTGGAAAGGAGCATAATCACATCGGAATTTTCTAACCCAAACACACAGCACAGCTGCTAAATTCACATGTGCCAAAGATTTATGACCGTTGCCATGACTAATATCACATCTGCTGATTAATATTTTTTTAATTGGTGCGAGCTGTTTCGTCAATAGGGAAAGCCACAAGGAGATGGGCTGTCTCAGGCTGCTCACAAAACATTTCCATAACTCCCAGTGGATGTGAATCTGTCTCAGCTTGCGGGAGAAAATAGGGAGGGGATCGAACCGAACGGGGAGGGAAAGTCTAAGAAGAAGGAATGTAATGAGATCTCATCAAATGATTTCTGTTGGTTTTTTTTTTTCTTTTTTAAAGCTGAACTCTGATTACATTGTTGCAGTTTGGGGATGCTAGTAACTTTTTCCAGAACCTCTCAGGTCTCTGTTTCTCAAGTTCCTTTTTATTTTTTTCAGCAACCAACAGCATATTTTCCCTTGCCTCTTTTTTTCCTCCCTTCTTCGCCTTTCCGCGTGACGTGTGAGTGGAGTTCTGCCCTTGTCTCTGGCAGCAAAGCTTTGAGTGCAGGAGAGAAGGAACTCGTGCAGTGGCGGTCACTGACTCTGACCTGCCACGGGCGAGATGGATCGGCGGCGTTAATAAGAAGGAGCCGAGCGCTTTCTGGCCTGAGTGTGTTGTGCTTTGTACTCTCAGGAGGGGGGAGGAATCCAAGAAGACCAGGAGAAAGTGGACAAGTTGTTGGGCTGTGTCGCTTGTGGGCAAAGGTGCATGAGAAGGAGCAGCTGAGGAGTCCGTTTGAGAGAAGGGCAGGAGGAGGAGCGCTCCGCTGAGGGAAAACCACCGCTGTATCCCCCCCCCCAGCGCAAACAGGACAGGATGAGGTATCAAGGCAGGGTAAGATCTACTTTCTGATGCTCTCTGTTGTGTTTGCAACACTCACTCATACAGGTTTAGATTCAGATGTTTTTGGAGTGTTTGGCACTCTCACACTAAAGATCTGAACCACCACGGAGATGCACAAAGGGACAAGCAAAGCAGACCAATGACTCACTCTGGGAGTCCTCTTTCCACCCTTGTGATTTGTGTACATGTTGAGGTTTTTGTTCAGGCATTCACTCAAACCGAAGCTGGATAAACACGGGACTTCTCCACCAGTTTCACCCTCCAGCACATTAGTGTTAGAGAGAACCAGCTGTGGTAGAAGACCAGCTCAGTCCAGGACGCAGTGGAGGGGGAAGCCTTATAAGGAATGCAATCTGTATGTAGTCGGCCCTGCAGAGCTCAGTCGTGGAGCCTGGAGCCAAGTTCTCCTCCTAACCCTCATCGCTGCCTGTTACTCCAGCTGCTCTTACTGCAAGTCAGAGTCAGACCCTGCACAGAGCATTGCCATCTCTGCATGCCTCGGCCAGTTCTCTGACAATAAAATCAGTTGGGATTAAAGTGTTTTTTGTTTGCCTCTCCGCCTCCGGTGTTCAGGTCTCAGCTAGACATAAAGACAATCCTTACTTCTTTTTATAGTTCATTTCAGTGTCATTTCCTTTGTCAGACATTCCTGAGGATCAATCCTCAAAGTTTCATGAGTAATAAAGGCATCTAGTTCCAGCAGGGGATTAGTTTGCTCTGGTTAAAAAACAAAAACAAAAAAACAACATCTGCTGCTGAGCCCAATCCTGGCTGATGGTGACCCTTTCCTACTAGAACACTGAAAGGATTTGAATGTTTTAGTTTGTTAATTTTTTGAGGATTGACAGCACATTCTGGGGATGATTAAGGTCTGGGGACATTACCTGGCCTCAGCAGGACTTGATGCTTCGGAGGCAATGCACCCATTTTATTTAATTATTTCAACTCAGGGATGCATCTTGAATTTGCACGATCGTGGCTCTTTATTGGAAAAACACAAAATCTTGCTGAGTATTTTTGATCTAGTTTATCTTAGGACACCTGAAATAGGACTGAACTACAACATGGGGAAGGTGTCTTTTTATAAGTGAAATGATCTGCCAATGTAACAAGTACTTTTTCATCAATACTAAGGAACTATTGGCTTAAAACAAACTCCTATATTTTACTGAAAAGTTACTTATCAGTTTGTTTGGCCTATTTTCAAGTGTACTAAGATATTCGACTAGAAACTAGACCAAAAATACTTGGTAATATTTTGTGTTCTTGCCGTGTTGAAGACTAGAGCAAAATGTCCCTGATCTAAGAAGTTAGAAATGTCAATGTTTTGATCCCCGAGCCACTCAGTTATAACTTTTTCCATGTTGCACAGCGCTCCGTCATGCTGGGAAAGGTATTACTCATCGTGAAACCTTTCCTGCATCATGGGGTGAAGTTGCTCTTAGAGGATGTTTTGCTACCATTCTTTATTCAAGGCAAAGTAAGTCCACCAACTTCCTTGGACAAGAGGCGACTATTGAATGCTTCTCTGTTGGGATGGAACGACGACTCACGGGAAGATTCAACCTTCCTTCAATGAACAACCCTTTTTCCAGATGTTCTAAACTTTTCTTCATCGGAGAAAATGCCTCCACTTCAGTCTTCTGCAGTCCAGTTTCACAATTTTGATGTTTTGCTCGGCCAGAAGTGGTCTCTGTGCAGCACTTCTTAAAACCAGTCAACCGTCTAAAAGTGAATGCCTCGCTTGTACCTGCCTCATGATATTTTTAGCAAGTTCTGCACTGTAAGTAATGAGAATAACATTAACTTTCTTCTTAAGTTGACTTGAGAACGATTGTTGAAGAGATGCTAGGAGGTTATTTTGCAGTAGGGCTAAAATTCGAATTTGTTATTAAGTTAATTCCCAATAAAAGTAATTAACTTTGCAGTTAACTCCATTTCACACTGATCACACTGCACAACAAACTAAATTATTACCACAAAAGTTAAAAACAAGATTTCCACCAGTCTCAACGTTTGGCCATGACTGTAGCTTTGGATAAAGGCCTCTTATTGCTGGAAGTTGTTTGGGTCCAGTGATGCAATTCCTGGAACTGAGACAAAAAATAAACTCATGACTTGAAATTAATAGGGCCTTTAAGGGAGTGTTTTGCTGTGTTTTGGAGTTGAATTAAAGCAAAGGGGATTTAGCTCCTGCAGCCTGTAGCTTTACGCAGAACTGTCAGACGTTTTGTACACAGTGTACATGTTGTCTGCCAAGTCCGTACTACAGAGGACTGCAAATGCCATGAGTCATCCCTCATTCCTTTATGGGGGATTTACAGGTCTAAATATTTGGAACAACATGACTTTAGACTTTCTGAGGTTCTTTAGATATTCTTTTCTTTCAAATTTGGCTGTTTTTATTTATTTTTATTTACTTTATTTCCAGTTCAGTACGTATATTGTTTGTTTCTTAAGTTACCTAACTTCGAGCCATAATGCTCATGTGAACTTCGACATAATTGACTTGAATTTATTAGTTGTTCATGTGCACTGTGTTACAAATTAATATGCAAGTTATATCTTCTCAGATTTTCTTAAAAGGTCAATGCAAATGATGGTCAGTATAATTTTCAAGTCATGAACTATTGCAGTATAGATCAAATTTTACTGAACAAGGCTCCCCATCAGAACAGTATTTTTTTTTCTTCAAAAATAGACCCACTGCGACTGTTTCTGCTTGTGAGCTGGGTAGGGGCTCAATAGTCGGTTCATGCACCGCAAGTCTCTGGAGGATCCTCCACCTTGAGGGTCCAGAGGCAGCATCAGCTTCAAATAACGGTTTGCTGCTTCATAAGAGCATTTTAACAGCTGCTAGCGTGTAGTGATTGATTAGAAGTGAAGTTCAAGAATTTGTTCTTCACCATTTTTTTAATCCAGTCTTGCTAAGCACCAGTTCCACCTGCAGTGAAATGGAGCCTCAGAAGGATGCTACCACCTCCGTGTGAGACGCTTTAGTCTACTCAAACATGGATATTACGTCTAATTTCCTTTGAGATCTATAAAGAACTGTTTAATTTTGAATTTAATTGGAGATTATACTTCTTTTATGGAGGATATGTAGAGTTTTGTTAACTCTGAATATGTTCACAGATGTTCCTGCATCTTCCAGTTTCTTGAGTCTCTGTGTTCCTCAACACTCTGACCTTTTATTTTACGGCTAAGGGTGACCATTTGTATCAAAGGATTAAAATTTTTGTCTCTCCAGGATGAAATATTCCAAACTCAAGGGATAAACCTGAGTTTTTTTCTACCAATTGGATCCTGTAGCTTTCGATGTGTCACTCCCCTGCAGCATAACATTATAGGAATTTGGGATTATTTGCATCACCACACAAACGTCACATTCTTATCTGGGTATCACTGGAAACTCAAATGTGGTATTTGTGGAAAATAATATGGTGTGTACCGAGTCTGTGATCTCAGAATTCCTTGCATGCATCCTCTGGAAAAAAATCAGACAGTGAACTGAATTACTATCTGTAGGAAGGCCACCTGCAAGTGGTGGAACAATAAGAAACCTAGAGGAGGGGCTGCGGTGGAAGTGTTTGCTGACTTTCCTCTGCTCTTGGCTCTCTTCCACTGTTGTCCTCGTGTGTTTTTTTTTTTCATATAGACTTTCCTGCACCAAGGGTCTGGAGATAATGACCTCTTAGCAGCCTTAGCAGGCCAAATGAGACCCCTGAGAGACTCTTGGACACATTAAAAACAGAAGTCCTGTCGAACTCTACCCCCTTTGTTCCACTTTTTGCGTTTTTTTTTCTTTGTGAATGTGAAACAGAAGAACTTCTCTCATGACCAAGCCTTTTGATACTAAACACAGTGCGCTCTTAGCTTGCTTGGGGTGTGGTGGGACAATTTCACCCTAAATTACTTCTCTGGATTATTATCACCGGTAAGTATCAACTGATATGAATGCTTCTTTGTATTTGTGCTTGCATGTTAGGGCTATTGTGGCGACGGTCTTACAGAAAAGGCCAAACTGAGAATATCTCTGTGGTGTTCGCCACCATGGTGCAGTTGATATGTACACTCATTGTCATTGTTGTTGTGCTGATTAAATCTTGTCTGGGGACGCAGCAGTGTGTCGACTGTACACACATCGTAATCTCAACTTCACAACAGAAGATTTTATGCTCTGCGTTTGTCATTAGGATTTTTCAAACGGCTCCATTGTTTAACATTGGGAAAGAGAGGTGAAACTTTTACTCATCTGTAAGGAAAGAGTTGTAAATCTATGATTATATGGTTATTGTGCCTCTGTATGATTTGGCTTCTAAGTTTAAAAATGTAATTTGGCATGTATTCCTATTCTGAGCACCAGATGTTGATGCGGTCACTGTTGAGAAAATGTCAGATAAAACGGGTGCTTCTGTGCCCTCTGCTGGTAAAATACAAAACTGCACTCTTGCTTTATTCAACCCATGAATAATGACCATGTCTGTGCAGGAGGTGGATGAGGGACGGGTGCGCCTGGTGATGGAGAGCGCCCTCACAGCCCGGGACAGGGTCGGAGTGCAGGACTTTGTCCTGCTGGAAAACTACAACAGCGAGGCCACCTTCATAGAGAACCTGCGGAGACGCTTCAGGGAAAACCTCATCTATGTACCTGCTACCACTTCTCTTCAAATGCTTTAAAACAAAAAAAAAAAAAAAAAGAAGCACAAAAATCATTTGACTATAATTTCTCTTGCCTCAATATTTTCCCCACAGACGTATATCGGCTCGGTGCTGGTGTCAGTGAACCCGTACAAGGAGCTGGAGATTTACTCCAAGCAGCAGATGGAGCGTTACCGAGGTGTCAGCTTCTATGAAATATCTCCTCACATGTGAGTCACTGTGTGTTCTTCATTCATTATTGAATGGTTTTTCTTGAGGATACTAGAAACTGAAAACTGCTCTTACACCTGATTATTTCTGTCCCTCTGACTCTTGAAAAATCTAAAGTACTCATTTCTCTTTAGACCTAATGGTATTTCTCAGTAATAATAATAATAATAACAATGATAATAATGTAGTTATAAAAGATTTGGGATGAATGTTATTCAGAAAAAACCTTTCCCACTTTTCTATCATTACTCTGTCCACAAGATCAGTACTTGTTGTTGGCATAAAGGATAGAGAAAGGGCAAATATAATATGAACATGCAACGTTTGAATGCATTATACTTGCAGTTCATTAAATATTATACTGTACTTTTACTGCCAGGATTTTACTGTATTGTTTCCCCTTAATACTGATCCAAGTTTTTAATAGGCAACTGTGTCTCAATGTAATATCTCACTAAAATAGGCTAATTCCAGAAAAACAACACGTTGCACTCCATTAATATTTCATGCAGTGACATGCGATCAGGGGAGAATAACATAATGATAATATTATAATAATGATAATTATATTGCTATTTTCACCCTCTGTTTTGCACTATAAAGTATTTAGTTTTCATTTAGCTTAACCAATTCTTATTGTTTTTCTTCAAAATCGCTGATTTTTCGCATTTTCCCATTCAAATGCTTGGAAGTGAAGCCGGGGAGGCAGCAGCGAGCTGAGCCTCACCTGGGATTGATCAACCTCTCACTAACTGAGCATGCTCCTCCTGTCTGTACGACACCAATTAAATGGTTAAAAAACATTTAATATATGAACTCATGTATATAATGTACAGTGTTTTTTGTCACCAACTGTGTGTGTAACGTGTTTCATGTGCTGAGGAGTACGGTGGCTGATACAGAAAGACAGAAACAAGTGGTTTGAGTTGTACTTCAACGGGTTTCCGCTTTACTTTGTAGTATAGCGCTTAATTAAATATATATATATGTTTGTATATATGTTTCAGCTTCTCTCTGCAAAATCTCCCCCAAGATTTCTGCGCCTTGTGGTTCAATAAGAGCCCATAAGACACATCCAGAAGGAAAACTGAAGCTGTCTCTAAAAATTATTGTCATTGTTAGAAAAAGATAATATTTGGTAGATCAAGAAGTTACAGCAGAAAAATCCTGCTGTTTAATACTAGGACACATTTAATCTAAATTTCTGTCACGTTTAGTTAAATTCTTTTAGACATGCCCATGTCCTGTTGGATCTGATTCATATATGAGCTTACGCTTTTTCATAAATAAATATTGGACTAATTTAAAATGAAATCTTTCAACTCCCTTGAGGCCTTACTGTCAAATCTGGTCGAAGTCAAATCAGATAGCCTGTCTGTAAAATGATTTTTGACGAATGTTGTTTAATTTTTGTTTTCATAAGCTTTGTGGTAAAATTTAATTCCCTATAATGTAAAAAAAAAAAAAAACAGTTTCAAGTCTCAAATTGACCATTTGAAAAATAAACTCCTGTTTTGAGTTACTATTTATATCTCGTTTTGTCACTAAAGCTTCTTTTGTGATATTTTGTATTTTCCTAAAGCTATGCCATAGCAGACAACACATACCGGGCCATGCGAACAGAGAGGAGGGATCAGTGTATCCTCATATCAGGTGAGAGTGGGGCAGGTAAGACAGAGGCCTCCAAGAAGATCCTCCTCTACTTTGCCGTCACCTGCCCCACTAATGATCACATGCTGGCCCTCGGTGACCGTCTGCTGCAGTCCAACCCCGTCCTGGAGGTGCGCGGTGTTATTTGGTGTTATACTCTTCTTTTAAATACTTTATGTCGATCAAGTTATTTTAAGTTGTGTTTAGTGCAGATGCTTCAAATCCATTGTGTCGTTTTTTTCTTTGCAGGCTTTCGGTAATGCCAAAACACTGAGAAATGACAACTCCAGCCGCTTTGGGAAATACATGGATATCCAGTTTGACTTCAAAGTAAATTATGTTTTTGTTTGTCTAGAATAGCAATTCGTCTGGAATGGTTATAAACCCTCAATTAAAATCTAACTATTTCTTTCCGATGTCAATGATTCGTGGGATTGTTTTCATTAGGGTGCAACAATGGGTGGTCATATTCTGAATTACCTGCTGGAGAAATCCCGGGTGGTGCACCAGAACCACGGGGAAAGAAATTTCCACATCTTCTATCAGCTCCTCGATGGCGGAGACGATGACCTGCTCAACACGCTGAACCTGGAGAGGAACCCTCACAGCTACCGCTACCTGGTTAAAGTACTTCAGCTCTCCGAACTGCCTGTTGTCCAACAGAGGATTGTGCAGCTTTGTTGTCATTTGGATTTTCAAATTGCTTTCTTTAGGGAAGCTGTCCAAGAGTGAGCTCCATAAGTGACAAGAACAACTGGAGAGTTGTGAGGAAGGCCCTGGATGTGATCGGCTTCACCGCAGAGGAAGTGCAGGTAACAAATACGTACCTGATTATTTGCTTACTTGCGTTGCCTGGCCCAATATCAATGCAACAATTTTATTTTTAATTCACTTTATTTACATAGTGGCAATTTAGGACATGCATAATCTCAGTCCAGTTTGCAAGACAAGTAAATTCAGTTCAGTTCAAATTCAAATTGCTGCAGAAGAGTCTAGTCATATAATGGGATACAGCTCCGGCCACATACAGTTCAGTTCAATTCAATTTATGATGCTATTCAAGTTCAGATCATTATTTATTGCCAGTTGATAAAAAGTTTTTCATCTAAGGAAGCCCAGCCAGTTCCATGGAGTCGTCGACTTTGCAGAAATACAGCAATCCTTCATTCTGTAGAAGCATGTGGCAACAGTGGAGAGAAACAACTTCCTTTTAACAGGAAGAAATCTCCAGCATAACCAGATTGGACATGAGCATCTGAGCAATGACTGCTTTCTAAGCAAAAGAAAAACAAGAAGAGGGACTTATACGGGATAAATAAAAAGGACACATTGGTAGCAAAATGTAAAAACAATGCATATAGTTATTTTATCAGTGTTGAATTAAAGGACCACATAATTAAATTGAAAAAAAAAGATTCAATATTTATAATTCTATGACCTTTCCAACCAAACTGGTTGTTTTCAGTGACTTGCTCAGCTGTTTGTCCCATCTGTCTGCTCAGAAACTGCTGAACATCATCGCCAGTGTTCTCCATCTGGGCAACACTCTCTTCGGTGAAGGAGAGGAAGGAGAAACTTATATCACCACTGAGACCCAGCTATCAAATGCTGCAAAGGTCAGAGCAGTCTCTGTGGTATTTCTACATGCTGAAATATTCCAAAAACAAACAAACAAAAAAAAAACAATACAGCTAGAGCACATGTGCTGCTGTTGTCTTGCAGCTGCTGGGTGTCGATGGCTCCGCCCTGATGGAGGCCCTCACTCACAAGAAACTCACAGCCAAAGGAGAGGAGGTTATTGTCCTCTCAAGCATGATCCTCGTGCTGCAACTTCTTTACTGTGTGCTGATTGTCGTGTCTTTGTGGATTAATTACAGATGATCAGCCCACTAAATTTTGAACAGGCAGTCTCGGCCCGTGACGCTTTGGCGAAGGCCGTGTACGGCCGAACCTTTAATTGGTTGGTGGAGAAGATCAACCAGTCACTCGCTCTGAAGGTGCAGGAGCAGCTGCAGAAACTCAGTCGTTGTGCTGCAGGGTTGCTCGTGTGTTTTAACCCTGATGTGTGCTTTGCAGGCAGAAATCTACCACAGCAGCAAAGACGCCTCAGTCATTGGGCTTCTTGATATCTACGGTTTTGAGGTTCTGCAGCACAACAGGTGCAACTAATTCTTTCATGCATGAATTAGGATTTTTTTCCCAGAATGTTTTTGATTTTCTTAAGGCATAAAAAATTGTAGTAAAGAAAACAGATTTCTAGGATTTTTTGGGGGGGAAATACGTTAGTAATATTGTTTGTTAGGTGTTATTTGATGTCACAATATTTTTTTTTTACCTGCAAGAGTCGTCCATAGTAGAAGGAGGGACTGGGTTGGTCGCCATCGTTTTCGCCTGTCCGCCATATTGGATTTAATTAAAAAAAGTTTCTTGCACTTGCAGTGGATGGCCAGTAGTTGATAGTGTATTGTACTAGTGTCCACTTCAGTGGTCTGTGTGCATTTTTAACATAAAAATCCACAAGAAACACAAGAAACCGGCTTTTAGGTAGCGGTCCACTGCGGTGACCGCTACGAAAGGCTTATCTTCAATTCTCCACTTTGTGTTCAAAGTCTTTTGTAAACAAATGTCTGTTCCTCATGTCATTTGTGAAACAGACACAAAAGTCTGTTTCACTCTTCTAATGGAAGAGTTAGCTAATTCTAACTCTTCCTTTAGCTTTGAGCAGTTCTGCATCAACTACTGCAATGAGAAGCTGCAGCAGCTCTTTATAGAGCTCACCCTCCGATCCGAGCAGGAGGAGTATGAGACGGAAGGAATTGCCGTGAGTCTATTTCTCTTTTTCTTTTTTCCCATTTGGTCGTCAAAACAAACAACTTTTGTCACATTTGTTCGTAGTTGTGTGTACATAGCAACATAACATTGGTCTCCTTAAAACACAGTGGGAGACGGTGCAGTACTTTGACAACAAGATCATTTGTGACCTGATAGAGGAGAAGCACAAAGGCATCATCTCCATTCTGGTTTGTATGAGCTGCATATGGTTTCTTCTTCCCATCTGTCGCTGGCTGGCTCTAAGGAAACTCTCTTTCAGGATGAGGAGTGCCTGAGACCGGGAGAGACTTGTGATATTTCCTTTTTGGAGAAGCTGGAGGACACAGTTGGCGGCCATCCACATTTTATCACGTATGAACCATTGAAAACATAAGTACAGGTTCACATACACTCCCACAATATTTGGTCAAATTACTGCTTGACCACACATAAAGAACAAACTTATAGCATCATTTATGGCTGGATAGTAGACCACTTTCCTTGTGAGAAATTACAGTGGCTGATTTTATGGCATGGACCCTGCCTTTAGATACAGGACATCTTGACAAAGTTGAGTGTTAGACTTTGAAATCCCGTCCTGAAGCTAGTTTTGTTTTCCGTTTGATGTCATTGTTTAAAATCCAAACTCTGTCGAGGTTTCACTCAACATGACCCACATTGACCCCCTCAGATATAACATTTTTTACTTAATCACACTAAATGACTCCCGTTTCAGTTCAAGATTGCCAAAATGGTTTGCCCTTCCTGAATGCCAGAGTAGTTGCAATGAGTAGGATCTGAAAGAGTGGCACGTTGTTCTGTCTTGATGATGCTGAATGTCTTTCAGGCACAAGTTGGCGAATGGAAAAACTCGCAGGGTGATGAGCAGGGAAGAGTTCAGGCTGCTGCACTACGCAGGAGAGGTCAACTATAATGTCAACGGTAAAACTGATTTTGCTTTATTCAAGTATTTCACAAAAAGTCTTTATAGAAGAGTTGATTATTTAATAATAAACAATTGTTCTTTTTTTTCAGGTTTCCTGGATAAGAACAACGACTTGCTGAACAGGAACCTGAAAGAGGTGATGGAAATGTAAAAACCAACACAAGAGGGCTTTGCAGCACCTTTCTGAAGTGACAGAGTTTGATTCATTGTTTCTGTGAAGAGGAAGAGGAGGGCGTGTCATTCTGCGTTGTTGACTTGTGGTTTTGTGGTTTGGTTTTTGTCTAGGTCATGTGCCAGTCAGAAAACCAGATCCTAAGTCACTGCTTCCGCAGGGAGGAAGTGATCGACCAAAAGCGTCCAGAGATGGTGTGAATGATTTTCTCACAGCCTTCCAACTCTTATTTGACCTTTTAGGCCGTTTTGTATCAAAAAGCACAGAAGTCTTCTGTTCTCTGTGTTGCGTGCAAAACAAATCTCCAACGTTTTGCCACAGTTGATTGGTTTTGTCTTTCTCCTTTTAGGCTGCTTCCCAGTTCAAAAACAGCTTGATGAAGCTGATGGAGATCCTCATGTCTAAAGAGCCGTCCTACGTTCGCTGCATCAAACCTAATGATGCCAAGCAGCCAGGTACATTCAGATTCCTCCTGAAAATCACTTGGAAATTACTAGTGTCAAATTAAATAACATTTGAAGCTCATCATACCTTAAAAATAACAACAAAAGAAATGAGATATGGTGGAAATAGCTTATAAATGTGCCACATTTATTTTGACCCCTAGTCAAGAGGAGGTAATCTCACAAAAACATAAAAATCCAACCTTTAATTTGTTAAGTAATTTAACCATGCCACATCAAACAATTTTTGTTTTAATTCATGCTTTACTTTTTTAAAATTGGTCAGAGAATCCAAGAACTTTTAATTCATAATCATTGATTTATGCAACAGAGAAGCCAATTTCTTTAAGCCTCCAACCACAAGACTGGCCAAGAACCCATGTTTATCTTGCGAGAACCCATGTTTATCTTGCAAGAACCCATATTTATCTTGCTAGCAATAATCATGAGGATGATGCTGGAGGGGGTAAAAAATATCCAAAGTTCACTGATCAGAAACTGCAGTAAACAGTGGTCACCATAACAAACATCAAATGTCATCTACATGACGACTGGTTGTTTATGAGTGATGTCAGAATAAGACGCATTTTCTCTCCAATATCACAAAAATGAACATCTGGACAATGCTATGCTCTACTGTGAAATTAACTGGAACCGTGTTTATTTGGTAAGATTGAGTTCTTTTGGCAACAAGGACTTCATTGGGCTTTGGGATGAAAACAGGTTGTTGTTTGTTGTTTGAGCAGAATAATCATATGAAACATAAATGTTCTTCCATTTCATGCTCCAGACCTAAATCTTGTAGAAACTCAAACTGCATAAATCTACTTAGTAGAGAACTTAGTAAAGTTTGCGAAGCAGTGAATCTGAAACCAGGAACGTCACTGAAAAGAAAAACAATTAGGTCATGTTTAATTTGAAGAATTAGTGTAAATCGTTATGTTCGGGTTCCTCATTTTCAATGGCATAGATGTAATATGAAAGTGCTGTCCGCCCGCAGGACGTTTTGATGAAGTTCTGGTGAGACACCAGGTGAAATACTTGGGTCTGATGGAGAACCTGAGAGTCCGGCGCGCTGGCTTCGCCTATCGCCGTCGCTTTGAGGCGTTCTTGCAGAGGTGACCCACACTTCCTCTCCGTCTCTTCTTGAGTCTGTTCATTCTTTCCAACTGATACATTTTAAATGACATTTAATTGCAACGTAGGTACAAGCCCCTGTGTCCTGAGACGTGGCCCAACTGGAACGGAAAACTGGCTGATGGTGTTTCTGCTTTGGTGAACCACCTGGGCTACAAACCAGAAGAGTACAAACTGGGCAGGTAAACAGAGGACAAAGTGGCAAGAGTTTCTAAAAACAGATCTAAAAGGCAATGTTCATCACCACACATTCAATCTGTAGTTAATCTGATCATTTTAAATTCTGCTGCAATGCCAGAAATTGAACGGAATGGTGGTCCAGAAACATTTATCAACATCTAATTCTTCATAAAGTCAATGAAATCCTTCAACAAGTGCAGAAAATGTAGATTTAGCATTTCAGATGTGACACACCTGTAAATGTGAGTCGAGGTTGAAAGTGTAGTGAATTTCCATGGAGCAGAGTTTCACTCTTTGGTGTCTTTTTTCTGTAGGTCAAAGATCTTCATTCGTTTCCCCAAAACTCTCTTCGCCACAGAAGATGCCCTCGAGGCAAAAAAGCCAGAGATCGGTAAGAGATTACAAATGTTTTACGTTAACATGACATATTTGTAAGGTGCAGTTTGATTAGAGGACCAGAAAGGTCACAGTTGTAAAAACTTTGCCTCTCACTTTCACGGTAAATACATCCAATACTAGAGCTGCACTGATCAGAGTTTTTTATTTATTTACGTCTAATTTTTTTTATATATATAGTTTTAGGCAATTCCGATTTCTCTATGAGATCTGCACTCTTTTTATTTGGTCTGGGCTCAAATTCCAGCAATTTGTGCCCATAGATCTAAACATAAAACATTTCATTGATACTAAAAATCTTCCTACTAAGTAACAGCATCCACACCAAACAGTGTCCTCTGGTTACACAAAAAAAGTGCAGATTTGTGAGTTTCCTGCCAGCCAATCACCAGTGAGGACATTGCAACCTGAGTCCTCTGTCCATATTTATTTCATTCACAGTAAACTGGCCTCATTAAAGCAACATGATAAACATTAAGGTGAACTCCATGGTGAATCAGGAACTCAGGACCATCTTCATAAATGTCGTATCCAAAATGTGTTTTGTTTTTCTCCAGCTGTGACGCTGCAGAAGTCTTGGAGAGGCTACAGGGAAAGAGCCAATTATCAGCGCATCAGACATGCAGGTCCCTACAAATGTCCTCCCTGGACTTAACAGCTTCTTAGTGTTGTGTCTTTCAGCTGGAAACTACATTTAAACTTTACTCCCATGAGGATGTAAGCTGAGTTTTTGATTTAATTTGTTATCTTCAGCAAAGACTGACGTGTGCATGTCTCTGTTTGTGTAGTTATCGTGATCCAGTCTGGGTGGCGAGGGATGAAAGCACGCAGGAGGGCTAAACGGCGCCGCCTGGCAGCTCAGTTGATACGCAGGTGAAGGACTAATGCGTTGGTTTGGATTATTTTTGCAGATTTCCTTTCTCTGTCCACACAAGTTTCTAAACAAATTTCTTTCGCTTTAGGTTCATAAAGGGCTTCATCAACCGTCACGAGGAGTACTGTGACGACAATGATTACTTCCTGGATCATGTACGCTGCTCCTTCCTGAGACACGTGAGGAAAAATCTCCCCAGGAGCGTTTTGGACAAGAGCTGGCCGACACCTCCTGCTTTGCTTGTTGAGGTAAGAGCAATACAAACAATATGTCCTTCAGCTGGCTAAAGCCACTGCACCCATATAAAACCCAACGCTCTCCTCGTACTGTCGTATTCCCGCCAGGCCTCTGAGCATCTCCAAGAGCTTCACATGCGGAACATGGTCATCAAGTACTGCAGGAGAGTTCAACCCGAATGGAAGAAGCAGGTACCAACAATTATTGGTACCTCTGGTAAAGATGATTAGAGAATAAATAGATTCATTATTTATTTGTGGCCAGGAGGGGGGAATCCAACTTTTCACATTTCTTCACCAGGAAGCAAAATCAGATTTTTACAAAATTACCTGCTACCCCCCAAAATTCCTACAAAATAGCATTTTGTAACTTATACTTTACTCTTTTAAATTGTACAAAAAGTTTTGAAACTCGTAATGAGCAATCCATTACAAGTTTCATATGAATATATGCTACGAGAAAGAGGATGATCTCTGTTAGCCACTGTTAAAAATGGGAAGCACAAGCAAAAATGCAATTCAATTTGGGTTGATGCAAGTCATAAGAACACAGCTACTTGCCTCGAGGTGTATAGACTCACTCATGAGCAGCTCTGGAAAAAATTAAGAGACCTCTTAAAATCACCAGTGTCTCTGATTTCAATCTTTATAGGTAAATGTTTGAGTAAAATCAACATTGTTCTTTTATTCCATGAATTACTGACAGCATGTCTCTGAAATTCCAAGCAAAAATGTAGTTTTTATTTACAGAAAATGTTAAATAAAGCAAATAAAGCAATTCATATTCATTTAGAAACAACAATAGTAACGTTTTAACTCAGAAATCAGTACTTGGTGGAATAACCAGGAGGTTCTCAATGGGGTTCAGTGCAGTGGGGTCGTAACTTTTTTCAGAGCTGTGTAGCCCAACTAATAATTAAAAAGTGAAATAATGACAGAACTTTGTCAAACAAGACTGAAGGAGGACACAAGTTGATCTTGCTGCCACAAACAATAGGTAGATTGGCAATTGCAATTAAAAAACATCTCCAAAGCTCACTGTTAGAGAACTGCAGCGAACAGTGTCACCTTGACACAACTATCATCAGACGATGTCATTCTGTTGTTTCAGAGGCATGCCGGCATGAAAAATACATTTTCTGTCATACCCTATAAGTTACCACTAGGATGTTGACTGGAACATTGTGCTTTGGTTCGCTGGGTCTAACAAACAGTCTGATATTTATAGTGACATTGGAGGATTTGTGATGTGGATCTGCTGCTCTCCCAAAGGCCCAGAGAGCAGGAGATTTCAAATAAATCTCCATAAAACTGAAAAACTATATATTTATTCAAAACAAATAAATACAGCAGTGGGTCAGGTGACATAGTAACAACCTCCTTCTGGGAGCATCCATCTGTTACAAAATCCCTGTGGGGTGATTTGAAGAGAGGAGAGTGTAAAAGAGGATCTGGACGTTTTACACATCTTTACAAGGAACGTCAGTGACTATCCTCGCCGTTTCAGTGTAAATTAACCTCAGCTTGACTTTCTACGTTTCCTTCAGATGATGCAAAAGGTCGTAGCCAGTGAGATCTTCAAGGACCAGAAGGGCAGCTATCCTCAAAGTGTTGGGAGGCTGTTTTTGGATACCAGGCTTGGTAAACCTTCGCATATCCCACACTTAACGCTGTATCATGAACAGTGATGTCACTGACTCTTTCTATTGCTTCACAGAGCGAGAGCAAATCAGCCTAAAAGTCCTCCAGACTCTCGGGAGTGAGAAAGTGCAGGTGGGATTAAACATAATGAAGAACAATAAACAAACGCTCCCTGGCAGTAACACGTATTCCTTGTTTTTGTCAGTATGGCGTCTCCGTCATAAAGTACGACAGGAGGGGCTTCAAGCCTCGCCCCCGACAGTTGCTCCTCACCAACTCCTTCGCAGTGTTGGTGGACCGGACCAAGATCAAGCAGAGGTTGGACTACGCTGCTCTGAGAGGTGAAAACCAACTGCACAGGTTGAAGATCTTGGTTGTTTCTTGACCTCCAACAAATGTTTCTGAATTTCTGAAACTATCCCAGCATGGTTGTTAAGGTGGTATAGAAAGAGACCTGCGTATATTGTTGCCTTTTACAGGTTAGCATTGGTCCACCAGCTATGCAAAACATTTTCTTTACATTTTTTTTTTGCACAGAATCATTCTCAGGTAGTGAGATCTGAGAATAAGAATGAGCTTGCTTTACTAGGACCTCTTGTCACTCAACATTTACTCTTGCATGTGAAAACAGCTGCAAATTAATGTGTAATTATAAAACACGACTGGCATTTGACAAACTACGTTTAGTGCTTGCTTTACAATTGGTGACTGTATGATGTAAAGCATTTTTAACTTCCTTATTGCTGAAATATGCTGCACAATTAAACTGGAATTGATTTGAATTTAACTGTATATCTTTGAAAAGCATTAGTAAAGTTTCCTGCGCAACCAAAAGCAACATTTGGTTTCTGAATGGTAAGGAAACAACAACCAGCTAACCAAACATGCTGGAGCTCAGCTTCCAGTGCTGTGTAACGGCACAGTGACCATTAATTATGACTTGACAACTGGGATGGTTTTGCTTTTTTTACAAACAAAAAAAAAAAAATTTTCTGCTTTTTTTTAAAAGTGCTTAGACTGTTTTTAGAATCAATTCAGACACAAGTGGAAGCATAAAAATGTTGCAACCTACGTCACCTTTAGAGTTAAAGGAATCAAAAAATGTAGTTTTACAGTCGATTGAGTTTAATATAGGTTTTCTCTCTAATCAGGGATCTTTGTGAGCTCTCTCTGTGATGGGATGGTTGTTCTGCGCATGCAGTGCGAGGATAACAAACAGAAGGTACTGCAGGATGTGCCGCTTATTTGTGTGAACCAAAAATGCAGCTAGTTTAATCCCAGCTGTGCCTCCTTCAGGGCGACGCTGTGCTGCACTGCAGCCATGTGATCGAACTGGTGACCAAACTGGCCATGATGGCGAGCAAGACAAACTACGTCAACATCAGCCCTGGCAGGTCAGAACTTTTTTACTGCTCTGGAGTGATGAATTTTGCAAACTTAACTCATAATCTCGTTCTGTCCTGGTGGTGCTACGTGGGGCTTGGATCGCAGCATTCGCTTTGCCGTGTCCAGAACCAAGGAGGGAATAATAGATTTCATCAGAGGTTCAGAGTTGAAGGTGTCCAAAGGCAAAAGAGGACATCTGCTGGTGGTGAGTCAGCAACTGTTCTCCGGTCATGCAGAGAAGCTGCGTGGGAGCCAGTCTCTGTTTTTGTATGAAAAAAAGAAAAACTTCCATCCAGCTGACTGTGTTGAAACTGTGTTTTCCTCTTCAGACCGCTCCTCAGATCAGCGCCACATGAAGACCCAGAAATCAGCAGGAAGAAAGTCAGGATGGATGATGCTGAAGATCATTGTATTTGGCACTTAAGGGCTTTTTCACTGCTTTCAGATAATCTGCACTGTTTTAAATCAGCTCTAGCTCAACATCAAAGACACTTAAGCTGCTGCAGCACTGTTACTTATCATGGCATGAACAGGTGGAGCTCGGTAAATTAGAAGATGATGATAAAAAGTTGAAAGTTGAATATAAGAAATTTTGAAGACTGACCACAAACAACGATGCATTTTTATTTCTTAGGCTAGTTTGAATGATTGTTGCTTTTATAAAAACCTAAGGTCCTTTTTCTCAGAAAATTGGATAATTAATTACAAAAGGGATTTTTAATACAGAAATCCTGCAGCCCGCGTAGTCATGGGAATGACTGCTGACTTGGCAGAGGTCCAGCAAATCATGCTTAAAAACCCCAGGTTCAGCCACAAAATGTAATTTCTTAAGAATCTTGATATTTGCAAAGGACTCATTGGAAGGTTAAATGGAGGGGAAAAAGGCTTAAATGAGAAGATTGTGGGACAAAACTCAGGCAAGAGTTTTGAATTTTAAAACTTGTAAACAGAGATTTGAGTTACTGATTCAAGAACCACTAAACAGAAATATCCAGGACATAAACTAAAAGTGTCCTATTACTGATGTTGATTCACTGCTTTCCCAAAGACATTAGAAATACCTTTCATGGATGAAAAAGAGTAAATATTGAACAGATTTCAACAGTTTGTGATTTGTGAAAAAAATGTTTCTGTTTTTGAAAAGGAGAAATAAGAATTAATCTGTTTTTGATATTTAGCCAACCTTGGGTGGACTAAATTTTAAGTGTTCATAAATACTATTTATTAAAAAAAAATCTTAATACAAATTGTCTTAAAGAGTCTGAATCAGCAGAATAATTTAGTACAGACTAAACTTCTCTAAATTATGGATTTCAAAAAGAACTCCATACAAATAATTGTAAAGAAGTATGGAACAGTTTAACAAGTGTTTCAGAACTGAAAAGGTTTGAACACAAAGAATAAATGTTTCACAAATCACAAATTGTGTTTCTGATAACCTGGAATTAGTCCAGAATAATCAGGTTTGAACTGAGACTCTAAAACTGAGCTGCAGTTTCAAGCACAAACACGATGCTGGTTGCAAAGGACAGAAACGCAGGAAAATCAGAGGCAGAAGTGACGCGAAAAGAAAACCAGCAAAAAGCAATGAAAACCAGTGAGTTCATATGCTGAGGGAACAGTGGAGAAAGACGCAAAGTGAATCAATGGCAGTCAAAAAGTAAGGAACAGCCGTGGAAGAGAGCAAACAGGCAGACTGAGGGAAGAAGAAGAAGAATAATGAACTGAGAACTGAGACCCAAAGAAAGTACAAACCCAGAGGGACAAGCCAGACCAAAATCCAGGAGAAATAAATCCAAATGCACAAAGAACACAAGAATTTAAAAAGAAATTCAACACAATATGGCAAACTGATAGCAATAATAATATGTGGCAAGACCTTTTTCTAACAGTAATAAACCCAGAGGTAATTAGAGATGAACATAAAGAAAACCAAAATTAGCCATGGGTTGGTACGAGATTTTCACAATGAGAAAAAATATCACGTTGTCACAAAGCACTAAGAATAAAATGTGTGATATTGTATCATTGCTTTTATGTGAAAAAACAGAAACTGCAGCAATTATTTGTACTGTTGCTAAATTAACAAAAAACATTGTTTTTTCTCATTTTAATAATGTTATGTGCACCATTTATTTAATGTTATTTAGATTTTAATACTAAAATATATACAATAAACACTGTTGACTTGTAACAGAAATGCATCTTATAGCACTTACACTAAAATAGCTTCTCTTATTTTAAGAAAACTGATGCATTGCATCCACACTGCTGGGTTTTTTAAATTAGTTTTCACAATATGTAGCATTTATCTTTGTTTTTAAAAACCAAAATTATTTTCAAGCAGCCAAATTTGGCTTTCTTGTAATCAATAAAGACGTGTGGGAATGGAGGGTCAACACTTCAAAATGCTAAATAAAATTCTGATAATTTTCTCTCGTTAAAAGCACGTCAAAATGCAGGAACATCTCTTTAAAAATTTCTATTTTGGTACCTGGTAACTTGCCAATGCTTTGTTGCATCAAAAAAAAAATTTATCTTGTTTTCTGTACACAAATACAAGTGTCTCAAACCAGAGCCTTATGCGTAATGATTGAAGGGAGTTTTGTAATTGTTGTAATTGTTTTTAGATCTTGAACTTGAGCTGAGCAATTTTTGTCTAGATTTTTTAAAAGTAGTGAAATGACCCTTTACTCAAATGTCAGATCAGATGTTATAACCAAGACTGAAGGACTATGACTCCAAACCTTTCATAGCTGTTGGTTTGCAGCCGCCTGAAAGTATGAAACATGTCTTCTTTTATACATTGATTTACAGCAACTACTATTAACTATTTAAGTATTAGAAATATGAAGTCTTCACTGTTTTTCTCAGTTCATTTATTGAAACTCTTCAGTAACACTGTTCAGTACAAAATACGTTCTGTAAAACACTATTTATCTACTCATGAAATGTTAAAATAAACCACTTTAAAAATAAATAGCACATTAATAAATATAATAATAAATAGCAAATACTTCTTTGGAAAGTCCTGAAGATTGAGGCGGTGGTGTAAAAACAGGATGTTTGGTCGTCTGTTGGAGACATGTGCCTAACATCCAATTAGAGGAAAGATAGAAACTTTGGGAAATACCCCCAAAAAGCCCTGGGATATTCAGAAGTACATCATTGAAAAAAAAACGTAATCCGATGCTCAGATTAATGTTATACAGCTGTTAATCCCATAGCTGTGGGCTTATGGTTGAGTTTTTGTCCCAAGTCTTCTGTCTAAGCAGTCTTTTGTGTCACAAGTGTGTCTTGGAGGCCAGCAGAAGAAAGTCCCTTGCTAGTTTGGTGAGGTAAAGGTCTAGGTCCCTCAGAATGATGTAGCCCTCCACTCTGCTTTCCCACACGGTTCTGGAGCTCCTCTGTCGGTTCTGGAGCGTTGCAGCAGGTATCGGTCTGACCCAGGAACTTCTTACGACTCTCATCTAGAGGAAGAAAGCAAAACAAAGTTCATCAGACCAGCTGCAGTGTCACTTCCTTTAAAACTCACGTGGACTTTAACAGAGAGCGAGACCAAACAAGGAAAAAAAAGTAACAAAAACACATGGGCATGTGTCAGTAGGAATTGTGGGTACCTGACTGCTGACTTGGTTCATCAGGTCCCGTAAGTCCAGCTGAATGTGTTTGATGCTCTGAAACAGACCGGCGGCCGTCCTTTGCGTGTTCTGCTCCTTCTCCAGCTGCTTCCTTTTCCTCTCCAGCACGCTCCAGTAGGACTGGATGTCCCTGAACGCTCCATCCAGACGGTCCCAGTCCTGATCAAGCAACAGGAGACAAACACAGGTCCATTACATAACAAGAGTATTGCCCAAACCCGTCTGTACATGCTTGCATGTACTGAAAGGGGAATTCCTCTCAAATTTTCTTAAACTTTATGGCCTGCAAGGCGAGGCTTTCGGATGATGTCACCAGATTTTTTTTTTTTAGGGGGAAAAAAACTCAACAGAATTAGATATTCTCAGAAATGTTCGTAATTTACAGTGTGACAGTCGATGGGTGACCTATTTTTGTTCTTTATGAATCTGTTCTGTGACTCTTACCGACAACTGAAGCCAGTTGTTGAAGTCAGTGGAAAGCAAAGGCAGATCTCTCAAGCGGTGGCTTCGGTCCTCGAAATCTACGTTTCCCATCTGCTGCTCCTTCTGTGAAAATAAAAGTTTTTTAGTCAGGTATAAAGCAAAAAAAAAAAAAAAAACAGGTGCGAACAGACATTTAAAAGAGCTGAAATGGGCGGTTCTAGACTGTTGACTGGAACTGTTGACTGGGTCAGAACTGGTTTCGATGGCTTCTGGACTGAATAAATAATGCTAAATTAATTTCTTATGATTATCTGCACTGGCACAGAAACTGCAACTAATTGATCACTTGGATCAATTTTGACTTTCACAATATAAAAGATGAATTTAAAATTAAGGTGTTGCAATAGGATCACAGTTTTCATCTACAAGATCTTTTATCATATTGAGCAATAAAATATTATCCTGCTGTTTTTCTTTGTTCCATTGTCTTATTCTGATCCCATCCTGACCCCCTGGGAAATTAGCTCCAGAACCGCCACTGTGGGAAGGATTTAATTAACTTACATATTTCTTCAGAAGGTTCTGCACCCTGGTTCGCGTGGATCTTGTGAGACGAAAGGAGTTCTTGTATTTATTTTTCTGTACAAATGGCGATGAAGGAGCAGATTCCACGCAGCTCATTATGCACCAAAGAAGGAAAAAAGTGCACCAAGTGGGCATCTGGAACAGACACAGGGATTAATGTGCTGCAAGCTAAAATCACGTTTGAGAGATTAAATAAAAAAATTTAAAAATTTCATCAAAGTTGGATAATTCATGCAGCTGGATTTGAGCCATCGCTGCTAAATATAGAAAATAAAACAGATGTTACTTTGCATATTTACGGGAGTTTTGAAATATTTCTGAAAGAAATTCCACACCACAACTTTAGTCTTTCCCCAGACATCTGCTTACCAAGTATATACTTCATTTCTTATGCAATTCAATACCACTGTTGCAGAAACACATAAAACAGAAGTGCCCCAATTCCTCTAAACACTTTCAATGTGGAAGGAAGTGTTTAGGCCTTCTTTTAGCACTGCATCTGCAAGGCACCCTGCAGGCAGCAGACCCCGCTGAAGGAAGGATGTTGCAGGCCAAAAAGATGAAATTAGATTACAAAACGTAATGTTCCTATTTCTGTCCTGCAGTTCTGCTGAACTTTGCTGTTGAGAAGGAAAAACAGCCAATTTTCCCATTTAAGCCAGTCATTTTATGTAATTGCGTTATGTGTTGATGCGAAATGACTCAGTGTATCTGTCACACAATTAATGATGAAGCCTGCTGCGTATCGGTAATTGATCAATAGTTTATAGTTGATAAAAGAAGTTAATTGAAGATAAACAGTAATCTGAGGCTAACAATAAATATACAGATGTAACGTCTGGGTCTGACACTCAGGGCCTCTAATATAAACAAGCAAAACATTTCCATTAAATTGTTAATACACAGACATAAATATTAATATATATATAGAGAGAGAGTCGATAAGAGTCACAGAACATCAACACACACACATATATGTGTGTATATATGTGTGTGTGTCTATTTGTGAATATATAAGTATATATAAAATAATTGTTCAATTGTTTGGCTTACCTTCAGGGGGATGTGAGCAGGACTCTAATGATTTACTAAACTCTCCAAAGCTCCTGTTTATATTCATTTAGCAGTACTACTTTCAGTTTCTGTCCTCTGCCCCTCTCCTCCGCCCCGCTCTCTCTCTCTCTCTCTCTCTCTCTCTCTCTGTCTCGTCTTGCTCTGTTTCTCTCTCGGTCTCTTTCTCACTATCTTTCTGTCTTGAACAGTTTCACCTTCTTGTGGTCACTGAAGTGTTTCTTAACCAAACACATGAACGAGAGCAAGAGCAGGAAATCACCTCATTGCCGTGACACAAAATTGCCAGATTTCTTGGTAAAAATTTGACTTTTTACAAAGAAAAAGTCAAATTTTCATTGTTTACCAGAGAAACGTTGAGATTTACAGCATTGCGTACCCCAACTGAGAGCTTAAACCAAGGAATTATCATTTTGTGTAAAACTTGAAATCCTAAATTCTGAAACTTCTACTTTTTTTTCTTTTTTTTTTTTTTTTTCTCTTTTTCTGTCAAGAGGACGGTTAAGTTCAGTCTTGACTGTGCATCTTGGGGAAATCTGTCAGGAGTCTCATGATTCTAATACACAATTACTCAGTTTCAACGAATCTCATTGAAAAATACTCTGGAAAAGACCCTGTCATCATAATTATTTGGTCACTCTCATTGTGACCAAATAATCCCTAGACGGGCTTTTCAAAAGCCCGTCTCAGGACAAGTGCTGAAACTTGTCCCGAATTAGCTGTTGCGAATTAGCTGTTGCTATTGCACTATGATGCAAACATTATTATTATTATCACCGTCTGAACCTAACTTCTTCTTTTTAATTAAATCAGAATTACCAAACCTATTACCATTTTCTAAATAACGGTAGCGAGTGAAAGAATATCATTTTTATTAATTAATGTCTTCAAAGTAAGAACTTTACATTCAGAATGATTTCTGTCTCTTCAAACAACAGGGAAAAGAGCTGATGGTGATATCATGACTTCATAATCCTCTGTGATATTAACATGTCGCCTGTGAATGTGTTTCAGGAACATACCTAGAATACACTGCTTTCATTTTTAGAAAGTCCAAAGAAATCAGTTAGCCAAGACATCCGGAAATAAATGTGGAGCTGCAGAAGCCTGGTTCATCTTTGGGAACAAGGATAAACCAGTATGAGATTGCTTCAGTGCAAATAAATTCATTTTAAAGGTTTAAACCAGATTTTTAATTCCATATGAAATGTAATCACTTTAAATTAACCTTAATATTTATGTACAGAATACAATAATCTAAATAAAAAAGATCATGGTTTCTTCACCATCCTCTCCACCACCAGTGTCTGGGCCACAGCGGGGAAGACGTCTCTAATTTTCACACATAGCGGCTCATTGTCTCTGACAGTTGATACCTGCGCAACGTTTTCCTCCTGGGTCCGAGCGCCAAAGACTTTTATTTGGGAATTAAACTTTATAATACCACTCTCTTTCTTTGTGTGTGTATGAGTCTTTCCGGGTTGAAATGGTTTGTCAACTTGATTTGTGCATGACTAAAATCAATTGTGAATATTGTCAAAATTAAAACACAGCCATAGCTCTCCCAAAAATAGCTGCAATCATGCAATTGTGAACAAAATAATAAAAAAGTGGTAAAATAATAATAATTCTCCAAATACCCTGTTGTCATATTTGACTGACATTTATATTTGTTCATTTCTTCATTTACACTTTCCTCAAAAAATCTGTTTATTTCACCGCTTAAACATGAAAGAAAAGAAAATCTGCTACACTTCTCCATCACTATGAGTAGTATCACGAGAAGGTTTCAACATCATTTTCAGCATGACACATCAGGAATTCACCTAAGCTAAGCACTCTTGTCTGCAGACTGTCTTGATACTGGCCAGTGTTGATTTTCAGGCTGTTCAAATTATGTGAAATCCCATGTTTAGCTGTTGACAGAAGTTTATATTTTTTGTTCTTTTGTAGGAACCCAAATTTCCTTGACCCAATATCAGATTTTTTGTGATAATGGAAACTAAAGCAGTTTCTAAAAACTGCCAAAAACTAGTTAAATTGGCGATTTGTCATCTTCCATAATCCAAGAGCGCACAGAGAGCAGGACTTCATGTCTTTCTTCTCAAAACTTATAATGCTTGTACTCAAAATTTCTCCTCGTGCTCAGATAGTCTCTGTTCGGACTCTCTGCTCGCTTATGAAACATTTTCTGGAACAAAATGCACCGTCACCTAGCAACCTCTCAGCCAATAGAATGAAAGTGTTGTACTGGGTGCGTTTGTTTCCTTCGAGCGGTTGTGGCTATGTGACTACTATCGATTGTAGAAACCTGCGAAGAAACAACGACCTCAGCTTTCTACTCCATGTTACGTTAAACATCTGCTAGCAGCGTGCTACTTATTGCTAACAGCCTTCTGATTTTAGGCAAGCGGTTCTTCACCCAACCAACTCCCAACCAACCAAGAGTCCAAGCAGAAACATTCCCCTATAGTGTTTTGGATGTGAGAGTTAAGGGGTTAAACACCATAATTTAATGACGTTATCGTTTCTTTTTAAAACTAGTGCACTTCTACCCTGGCAGCATTTGGATTAATAATGCAGTTGTTTCAGTGATTATTAAAACCAAGTCTTCATGAAGGGAAGTCCAATTTTTTTCATAAAAGAAAAAAAGAAGAAGAAAGATAGCATGACCATTTATGTCTATTTAGAGTAAAGCATTGCTCAGCTTTACAGTGACAGTTTGAGAGTGAGTCAGTTCACTTCCAGTGACTTATTTACTGTCAAAACCACAGTAAAACTCACTTCCACCAATACAGAGCTAAACATTAAGCTAGCTAACAGCCCACATGGCTAAACCCTCATTGTTGTTCTATATGAATATTAGAAACAAAGCATTACTTTGGCACTTTGAATATGTTGGCTTCTTCAAGTATAAGCAGTTTTAATCATTTGTGACTCCTTGGTTGAGTTACATAAGGCCGCCATTTTGAACAGCCCGAGTTAGAGAAAAGGTTTGACTCTTTCCTGGACATGTCCACTTTCCACATTCTGTGTAGGAACTTCATCAGTTTATGACAATGCCCAAGTTTTTATTGTTTTTCAACAGAAATGCTCTTATTGACTGAATGTTTTGACATCCTCCTGGAGCAACTGAGTCTTGGGTGGATGATTATGTTCTTACGTTGAACATAATCTGGATAATCTTTCTCCCCAATTACCTGGTTTTACACTCAAAGCAGTTTTATTCCTGCATTCAATTTAGCTTTAAGTTGTATGTTTGGGAGATGTTACTCTCTTGATTCCCTGCAGTCAGTAACGGCTTTTCATGCCAGGTGTTGAGACAAAGAAAGCAGTACAAGGCTCTGTAAACCCATTATTCCAGAACTTATGTTCGCTGAGGAACGGGTAACAAATTCTAGCCGGTTAAAAGATGTAAACAAAAAGACCCCCAAAGTCAATGGCTTCCAGGTGACTCAAACACTGAGAATCAATTCTGAATGGTGTTACAACAGTAGACTAACAAAACACCTGATTTCTTACGATTTTTATCGATTCGCTACTTTGTATTGATATTCATATGTAAAATGATGGATTACTCTTTAATAGCTTCCTGATCATGTACACAAAATAATAAAAG